ATAAGATTTCTTGAGCTATTCATATATATATTTACGTACAAAACAGTATATTACATTGAATTTTAGATTATCTATGCACATTTCTTAAAATTATAATGGAAATGAAGTAGGACATTGATTAAATATTTTTTTGGTAATATTATATGTTTTTGAAAATTATTTTAATATTTAACATCTAAAGAGACATATTTAGTTCACAGAACAGAAATAAATTGAACAGGTCAACACCACAATGATATCCCTTATTGTAGCATGTGTTTAGAAAGGGTGAAGTCAGAAATCTTACTTTGCACTGATTCTTGTCTTTTCAAGATTCAAAAATGCTTTATTATATTGTTAATACAGTTACAGTGGGGGTTGTTATAAGGGGGTGGCATATATGTGAGCTTGGGCTGATTTAGCCACAAACATTAATGGTGATGGTTTTACAATTATGGGGTTGACTTAAAGCTAAACAGAAGATCTTGTCTTTTGCAAATAGGTAGAATTTACTGAGATTAGAAGGCTCGATGCAGAACTTCGAATACAATGTGGCAATTATAACATATTTGTGATTTTAATTTGTTTGTTTAAAAGTTTGTTAGGATGATTTTTCAGTGCATTTTCAGATTGCCAAATTTTGGTGATCGCTTGGAGGGCCATGGATATTATCTATTATTTTATTTATAGCAATACCTCACATAGTCCGTACTCACAAACTAAATTTTAATTGAAAAAAATAGTTTCTATACAAAAATTAGTAAGTCTCCTTTTTGGTAATATTTTATTTAGTTCCTTGATTAGTCCGGTATCAAATAGTGGCGGAATTGATTACTCATACTATACGAGGTTTTGTTGTGTATGTGACATACTCGTCAATTATTTATAAAAATGCAAATCTATTTTATATTTTATATTTATTATTAATATTTGGGCCGTTTATTTTAACTTGGGTCTAGAAATTTAGGAATTTCTGGCCTCTCAAAAAAATTCTGACCTCTCAATGCCTATGAATATTCATTCCTTTACCAAATTCCTCTTTCCTGTACATGGGACAATTCGTGTCCCACCAACCCTTAAAGAGTTAAAAGTGGTGTAAATTATTTTTTTAATATGCAGATATCACACTAATTTAATCAAAAATTGTGTGATATTTCATTAAAAAAATGGATTTTCACCACTTTCAAAATAAACGATCAATTTAATATATCTATTTATTTCTTTTCATTATATTTAATTTAGCATTAATATTTAAATATTTAAATATATGTTGTTATAGTTAGAAGTAAGCGGAAATAAAATATTTAAAACTAATTTAATTTATTTTTTTTTCAAAAATTACCCTACTACTAATTTAACGATATACACAAATACATTTGTGTGGAGCCGAAATGATTATTTCTAATTCGAATTCAATGTTGACATTAGGAAACTAACATTCCTGGACGTTTGTATATAATTTTGTTTTTCAATTAAATCTAAATTCAAGATCCAAGAGCATGACACGTTACAATTTGCTTGTTGTCAGGCCTTTGTCAATAAGGTTGACAGCCAACATATTTGCATGCTAATCAAGACGTTTTTAAAGAAGTTTTTGGCAACCTCTTTTCTAGTTTTAAAGTCCATTATTAGTCCGGTTTCAAACAACTTCTTCTCCTGTACTGTCCAAAGTCCTGGTTTTGTCTCATCCCAATTGGAGATGTACCAGGGTGCACCTGCAATTGGAAAGATTGGATGTATTATTAAACTAAATACTACTAACATTACTAAATACAGCAATACCTCGCATAGTGAGGCTTTGATCAGTCTGGATTCAATATGGCCCGGTTTGAAAATTTCAAAATAAACTAAATTTAAACTGAGATTGCTATATTCATTTGCAATCTATTCGACAGAACTTTTAGCAAATCAGTTCGCTTTTAATATTAGGAACTTTCTGCCAGTATTTAGCAACCTCTTTCCCTCAATACAGTAAAGTTTCTTTTTCTGCAGTTTATTTTCTAGTTTTAAAGTCCATGATTAGTAGGGTTTCAAACAATCCGGTATATTAGCAGAAGCGATTATACGTACTATTTGAGGTAGTGCTGTACTTTAACATCTTGGATTATAAGAAACATCTAAAAGACAATAAGAATGTAATAAAGATGGTAAAATTTAAAAAAGTAATATTCAAATTTTTAGACAATAAAGGCCAATAAATACGTTTAAATAAATATAGATTCAGGAAAATAGAAGATAAAAATAGTATACGCATTTCATTTTTCAGGATGTAACGGAGATTAATCTTATTTGTTACCAAACTTCCGTCTGGAGGTTGTCAACCACTTGTACACCTTATTTTGATGAATTAGTATAAATGATTTGAGATGTCGCCACTAGGTAGCAGCGTGTGAAGCTGCTGCTGGTTAATTAATTGCTCACTAGGTGCAAGTTGAAGTTACTGCCACTACAAGACCAGTCTACCATGCCAACGTTAAAAAAACTATACAACCCAGTGGTATATAAATAAATAAATTAAATTTTAAATATGTTTTTATTTGCGAATACTCCTATATAATAATTAATAACTTCATCATAACTCTACATCCAGATAATGCTCAAAGATTATCCTGCTCATAGTTTACTCGTGTATATAATTTAAATGTATTTAGTAAATGATTAGTTACCTTTCCAGTTTTGTCCACATACTTTCCTCTCTTAAATGATCCTTGTTTACTTGTGTATCATTCATCGTAGCAATTTTCCATTTCTCGAAAAAAAGAAAATCAAGTAGATGAAATTTTCTCATTGGTAAATCATAGCCTCTTTTACTATCGCACACTTGGACGCCAGAATGATAAACCATACTGTTTACATACAACGTACATTAAATTAATTGTACTTAGACACACATAAATATATATATATATAAAGAATACAGACAAAAGATTTTAATACTCATAAAAAGTTTTAATATCAAAAAGTAAACATTTGAAACAGTTACCATCGGAACCGATTGATTACGAATTCAACCGATTACGAACGAAAAATCTTCTTCTATCCAACAATGCTAGTCTCTCATACCAACTGATTTATCGTAAAAACAATTGATTTATTGAAACCAATAGAACTTTTACCGCGAAACTCCGAATTTTCGAAGCCCTCAAAAATAGAACTTCTTTTACAGAATTATTGTTATTTCTTACATTAAATTTATGTCGGCCTTAAGTAGTATTTAAAAATTAATTATCGTTAACAAAATAAATATATATACAATCACTTAAAACGCAGTATATTGTCTATATTTGTTTATACAAGCGCTACAAAACGGTTTATTATAGATAATAATGTTGGAGAGAGAAGACAAAAAAAATGTAACACAAGCTCTGCCTTATTCAAGAATAGACCACGATCCAAAAATAATACCACTAGTCTGTAACCCAACGTGCGATCGTGTGCCTTTCTTTCCGTATTATTTTCCCTTCTAGTGCAATTATAAAAGGAAATAATTGAAATGCTTGAGGTAATTACATTCATGCAGTTTGCACGAGGTCTAACATAACTATTAGAAAACTAATTGATAATCGATAATATTATACACATTACACAGATAGAATCGATTTACAGTGTAAAGAAATAACTAAAGCAATAAATATTACATAAGGTTTGTTTATTTAAGACCAGATCAAGTACATCGAGGTCATATAGTGCAGAATAAACGAAAAACTACCACAATTAATAGAAGTATAATAACAATAGTTATTTTTTGCAGAAATATTCCTATAATAATCGCATTTATATTTACTTAATCCTGTTAATTAACTTTCACTTAAAATAACTTAATGTTTACAAATCATTTAATGTTCTGTTTCAAAAGCCAAAATAACTTCAATATCTTATTCGTCAATTTTACTATAATTTATTAGTTAAATTTTGAATTTTATTAGTAAAGTATTAATATGCAGTCTTCAACGATAAGAAAACTTTATTTAGCTACAGTTAAGTTTCTTACTTAATAGGTAAAAAAAGTAAGTTAATAAATAATAATTTGCTTCGGACAAGAATTCCTTTCATAATTGTTTATTAAATATAACTTTGAATGCAATTCACAGGTCAAAATGACTAATCTCGCATGCGCAATGTTTTGAAATAATAGCGGATGGGAAACCAAAACAAACCTCATTATTGGATATATTAGACATCTTCAACTCGTATATACCTGAAGATGATCAACACCTTACAAAGAAATAGAGAAATTATATGACATAATCATAAGATGTCACTAGTTGCATTTCAAAATGGCCGTAAACAAGCGTTACTATTTTAAATGAAAATTAGTTTTAAATGGAATAAAAATAAATATAAATTTGTTTTATGAATTGTTTACTGTATCTTTTCAATTATGTTGGGAATATAAAATCATTTAAATCGCTATATTTATGTAATGTACAAAAACCGCATGTTTCGTAATATTTATTTATTGCATGTGTTCATTATATTCACGAATATTATGTAAGAAACCTTTTTTTGCTGGATTGCTTGTATAAATCTTTTCCTAATAATCAAATTTTGAGTTGTTGAATCAATATCACTACGTATCGATTTAACTAAACAAAATAGCGTGTACTGTATTTAAATTTGTGTACACAGTTATCTTAAATTTGTTACAATAAAAATATTTACTATACAATCATATATTTTAAAAATATCCAATCTAACAGTGAATATGCATTATCTTTTTGTTAATAATATACAAGGTTGGGTCAGAAAGTTGAAGTTTCAACGAAAATCATTACACCTACTAAATGTATTTGAAGTTTGATCGATTTACATTTCCTATCATTAAAAGGGCTTATTTTGGCTCCAAAAAAATCGTTATAGAAAATTTCGATTTCATTATTATAAAATGTTAAAATATACCTTGAGATTTATATTAGACTTATGTATTACACATTTTAAATATTTTGTACAATGTTTTAAAACAAATCAGTACTTCTGTTAGTCAATAAAGATGGACATAGAAGAGTGCCACCTCTTATCTTTCCTTGAAACTATATAAATTCCCCAATATTTTGGTAAATCCTTACATAGCCTCAACTACGCGCAGTTAGTGAAACAACCCCAAGCGGCAAAGATACATAACATAAATATTCAAGAATAATAATAAACACAATTTACTGTAAAATCACATACAAAGGGCTATTGTCTGCTGTCTTTATTTATAAATTTCTATTTAGATGGAAGATACAAAGGTGGAGAACAAGACAAATGGCAAGAAGAAGAGGGAGGATAAGATCCGGAGGAGGGACACAAAGGCTCTTGAGAATATTTTGAAGTCCATAAATCATCTTGTTGAAGCTGAAAAATTCATTATATTAAAGGGTAAATATACTGACCTTTATGATGAGTATAGGACATTGCAAAATAGCTTAACTGCAACTGAGAAGAAGTACATTGTCCTCCAAAGAGAAAAGGACCAGTTACAGTCAGAGCACAGTAAATCTATCTTGGCAAGATCCAGGTTGGAAAATTTATGCCGAGAGTTTCAGAAACAAAACAAATTGATTAAGGTGATTGAGTTTATGGTTTCTATTATGAACATATTAATATTGTATATGTTTTTAGGAAGAGAATGTGGCTAAGATTCGAGAAGAGGAGTCAAGGAAGGAGGTTACACAGAAATTCCAAAATACTCTCACAGAGCTCTCTTCAGTGATGATGGAAAATAATGAAAAGAATATGAAGCTCCGTGATGATAACATTGACATGGCTAATAAGATAGCAACTCTCTGTCAACAATTCAGTAAGGGTGAAGAGGAATTGGCTAGAATGAGCAAACAGATGTCTCTGGAGAAGCAATTGTCTGAAGCAACAGTTGCCAAGGCCCAGTTTGAGTTGAAGGCTGAGAGAGAATTGTGGAATAAGGAAAGTGAAATTCTAAAGAAGAAGCTGCAAAAAAGCGAGGAAACATGCACGCATCTTCAGAGTAATATCAAGGACCTGGAGAGTCACTTGCAGGTGTACACTGGAAAATATGAGGAATTTGAAACAACCATCAGTAAAAGCAATCAGGTCTTTGATAATTGTAAGACAGAAATGACAAAGATGACCAAACAGAATAGTCTTCTCGAGAAGGAACTGAAACAATGGAAAGTGCGTTTCGAAAAGAAATGCAAGCTCGCTATGGATATGACCGCTTCAAAGAACGCACAGGAGATGGAATTTGGAAAAAAGACCGAACAGCTGCAGAAGTTATGTCGTCAATTGCAAGTGGACAGGACGGCGTATTTGAAATTACTCAAAGCTAACAACATTGAACCAAGTACTCAAGTTTACGTTGAACCTACACCACCACCTCCACATGAACCAACGCAGAAGGAGCAAAAGTTGGAACTGTTGAAAAACACTCTAAAAATTCTTCAGGGCCAATTTATTGGTAATTTTGATCTTTCTTCAATTGAAATAGTTTTATATACTTTATTTGTTAGCAGAATTAACCGGCGATCCGGCTGCTCAGGAGGCAGTTAAAGCAGCTGCTGAGACGGAACCCGTTCCCGTTCCCAAGGAAGAGGAAGAAAAGGAAGCTGTTCTCAATGGCGACAGTGTAAACGAATCAAAGAGCACTGAGTAGATACTTATTTTTTTTAATTTAATTTTGATGTACATGTTACAACGTCACAAAAATAAACTAACAATAATGATTTGAATATTTACTATTTTTTTTTTAATATTTTATATATCGGTTTATTTTCGAATTATAATGTTTATCAAAGTGATTGTGCTTCAATATAATCATTAAGTCAATTTGCAGTTAAACTAATTAACTTCGAATAAAGATAGTTTGATATACTATTAATTGTTAAGTAATCCATGAAATATTATCCTATTGAAGTTCATGCTGAAAATTCAAGTAAGTAATTTTAAAGTGGGAATGGGTTTGAAAATAAAATATAGAAATTATTTTTAATATTATAAACATATAATTTTAAACATATAATTTGAATGAAATAAAGCAAATATAAAAAGAAAATAACATATATATTATATATACTTATGAATAGACTTGTTTTGCTTTTCTTTTTCTGTTTGCAGTAAATATATAATTTTAAACACAAAAATAAACGTAAAGAGAATAAAAACCAAATAATTTAAATTATATAATTTTATATATATATAATGGGGGCAAATGTGGGTGATTATCCGATTAATATGATTTCTCCATGTCATGTTAAGCATTGTACTTTTGAGTTCCAGAAACATGTCTTTATAAACATCATTTCGGTATTCATATTTACAATTTATTTGGCGGGGAAATCATTCCATCGAATAATAATAATGAAGCCGAAAATAGGAGAAAACAAAAAAAAAGGCTAGTGAGAATCTTAAAATACTAGAAAATAAAAAAAATAGTAGTTGAGAATTTAAACTTCCACTTTGAAGGGTGATCCAGGGATATGATCATCGCCCCATTTGACGATGACAATATAGTCTCCTCTATCTCTGACCAAATAGTTCACGTTGTATTGATTGCGACCGGTGTGCTTAATGAAGACTTCTTCGCATGGTCCCTTAGGTCCATGTACTCCCACAAACAATATGTTGGATCCTAAGAGGAAAATAAATTAATCCATTTGCATTTCGTGATAGTATTTAGATACTTACCAGCATCATTGGCGGCTACAGTAAATTGATTTTGTTTACCCAAGTAGGCCTTCTTCAAGCCCATACCCTTCGATGAGACTTTAGATGCATCGCTCTTGAATTGTGGTAGTTTTGGTCCTGGTTGAATTGCCTGTCCAACTTTAGCAACAGTTTCAACGACGACCGAAGAAGTTTCCTGTGCACCAATATCAACGTGAGCAGCTTCTCCTGTTAAATATAAAACAAATGAATAAGTTTTGCAGAAAACGCGTTGCAATTCAAAATATTACCAGCGCTGTGCACTTTGAAAGGCGAGCCAACGATGTGATTGTTGTTGTATTTAATGCTGACATAGTAGTCGCCAGGAGCGAGTGGCGTGTAGCGCACCTTGTAACCCTCCTCGACTTCGGTACAATCCATAGATACCTTGCTTGGACCATCGATGGTAACAGCTAAAGTTCCAGCTCCAGCATTTACGGTATCAATGATGAAATCAGTTTTCGCACCTGCACAAAATTTTAAATAAATTTAAAATATTCAAAGGTAATTTCAGTACATACCAGTTTTGATGTCTCTAAGTCCGTTACCGGCGGCGTGAACAGCAGCTGGATCGGCGGTGTCTTTTCCAACCCTGATGCTGAATGGAGATCCAGGGATATGAACTCCGTTGAATTTCGCGTGGATCTTATGAATGCCATTTTCTCTTGGCATGAAACGCACGGAATACTCTTCAAGATCTATTAATTGGATGAAACAATCTTCCTCGTGTCCAGATGGGCCTATGATCTATCAGAGGGAAGGTATGTGTTAAATAGGAACAAGCTAAAATTAAGAATTAGCTTACCTTAGCGTCGAGGTCTCCCTTAGCTCCGTTTTTGCGAACGATAAATTGCGATGGTTTGTCAGCTTGTACACTACCTTCTGGGAATTGGGCAACTTCCAGGAGGTGAGCGTCACCGACGGCTGGCGAGATGTATACTTTGAATGGCGAGTCAGGCACATGTTCGTCGTTGAATTTCAGGCCGATACGGTATTCACCTTAGATAAGAGAAGAATGATTATTTGCGAATATTCAGAATGGATGGTGCGTTTTTTGTTACTAGAGTCAGCTGAATCTAGCGAGATCTGCTGGCTGGCTTTGAACATGCTAATATCTACTGAAGGAGGAAATTTATACCATGAATCAGAGATCCGCGGTGTAAATTTAGCATGCTCACCTTGAGGCACATTTTTAAATTTTTGTCATAACTGTTTTGAAGTGGTCAGGATTTGAAGTGGCGCTGGCCCGCGGCCAAACGAAGCTTCTCATCGCGAAGTGTTAATAAGACCCAATTTACGTGCAACATATTTTCGAGCTGAATTGATACCAAATATTTTCTGCATCCACAAATATCAGGTAAACCTTTTTGCCAGCCAACGAGCCAACCAGCAGATCTAATTATATTTTAATCGGAGCGCCACTTACCAGGCTCGGAGACTTTATAAGAAACGTCGCAGGAGCCATCTTTGCGGTCGCTGAAGTTAATTTCGGCCTTGCTGGGTCCTTCTACGGAGATGGCCAATTCACCTGTACCAGCTTCACGGGTCCATACATTGAATTCATTGATCTCTCCTTGCTCTCCTCTCTCCAAACCTGCACCACCAGCTTTCACCAAATGCGCACCGTGATCCCTCAATGGCCCAACGGTAAATTGGAATGGAGATCCTGTTATTATTTAAGAAAAGTATATGTTAAATGTAGTCTAAATATTAATGGCAAGAACTTATAACTTTGGTGATTGTTGGTGCCATATAAAACTCTATACCAATCGCCAAATAAAATAGAAATTAATAAATTACCAGGGATGTGGATTTCCTTGTATTTAACAGAAACGGTGTGGACTCCCAATTCCTTGGGTACAAAGTGAACGGCATATAAGCCATCTTGCACTTCGTTGATTACAGCGTCTTCAGTAACTCCTCCGGGAGATGTTACAGTAGCGCTCAAATCCAAAGATGTGATTCCAGGCATCTTGAAAGTGAGTTTACATTGACTTCCAACTTCGGTGATTGGTACAGCTTCGCGCTGCCTTTGAATCTTTTCTCTTTGACGATTGGTGCCTTCGCCGCTGACCTTTTTTTTAAGAAAGAAAAAATTAATATATGTAAAGTTTATTTAAAAACCTCTTGTATTACTTTAACAGTAAATGGAGATCCATCTACGTGATGATCCGCGAATTTAAGATTGACGATGTAGTAACCTGGTTCGGTGGGTTTGTAGGAGATGTTCAATGTACCATCTTCCTTGTCGGTGCATTGAATTTCAGCCTTGGAGGGTCCTTCGATGGAGAGTGACAAACCTCCAAAACCTAAATATACATATGTAATAATCGATGTAATTATATATTTGATTCTATATATCTAACCTGCGTTCCTTGTGTCTACGGTAAAGGTATTCTCTACGTGGGTCTTGCCTTCTTTGAGAGCAGCTCCGGACACTACAACCTTCTTAGCATCGCCAACTTCTCGTTCGCAGACATTGATTTTGAATGGAGAGTTAGTAATGTGCTTTCCTAGTTTCTTCACAGATACTACGTGCTCTCCGATTTCTCTTGGTGTAAACGAGATACCAATGTTACCAGTCGGTAAGCGCTTCAAGAAACAAGGCTCTTCTAAGCCGCTTGGTGCTTGGATGGAAGCGTTAAGAGAACGAATATCAGCGTCGGAGATTTTTCCAGGCAATGAGACTTCGCTGCAGGAGCCGACGGAAATTTGATTTCTCTTCCTTCCTTCTCCGGTGATCTTAGCATTGAATGGTGAACCCTTGATGTGCTTATCGCCAAAGCGGACAGAGATCTTGTATTCACCAGGAGCAGTTGGGAGGTATGAAACAGAGACGGTACCGTCCTTGTTATCATGGCAAGAAATCTCGGCTTTGCTAGGTCCCTCGACGGCCATGGACAGACCACCAGCACCAGCGCCTTTGGTGGAAATGGTGAAATTGCTGGGTTCTCCTGTAACGCCGTGAGTAAGTCCTGGCCCATAAGCGGTCACGTAACCAGAGCTGATGGAGTCAACGTGGAACTTGAAGGGCGATCCTTGGACATGCTCGCCATTGTACTTGACTGCAAGCTCGTGGAGGCCTTCTTCGCGTGGATCATATTTAATGCTCACCGTGCCATCGTGATTGTCTTCAATCAAAGGCTTATCAATGTTTCCGCTCGGCATTTTGATGTCGGCTGTGGGAAGAGAACAATTGAAATGGATTAGTTCAAAACTAATTTGAATCTACCTTTATGAGTATGGATGTAATATGAGGAGAGAAAAGATATCGGAGCGAAGTCGACACCGAATCCTTTTCCGCCGATTGGTACTGAAGGAACGTTAATATAAACTACTGGAGATCCTTTGCCGTCGTACTCAGAATGAGTTATGCACTTGTACTTATCCCAGTAATAGGTGGAGGTATCTAACCAAGTGGTCTTAGGCGGTTCAGGCGTCTTTAGCCAAGAAAACATTTTCTATTAGTGAAGCATATCTTTCTTCATGGATTGAATAAAGATTAAGTTCGATGAAGCAAAAATATTGAAAAATATCAGGGTAAAAGTAAAGTATTAACTTGAGCTTAGAAAGATATGCTTTGACGGTGGTTGCAGAGGTACTGAGCGCATAGAGGAGGAGTCGCGCGTGAGGATATCTTCAAGAGACTGACGTGGATTTACACGGATTTTGGAGGAGCGAAAAAAAATGTGTGTACGGCGAATATGGCGACAGCTGCAGCTAAGAAATATGTAAAGTAGGTAATATTTGACATCTAAAAATATCAGGGATATGTTTTTCGTATAAAAATTTCGTTACGCCGCAATTCGGATTTTTTATTGGACTTGAATGAACCGCCCCCGCGATGGCGCCGTCCTGGACTCCGTATTCCAAAGAGGAGGAGGAGTAGGAGGAGGAGGCAAAGACAGCTCTACCACATAAATAACCATTTTTTTTTGTGCTGTTCCATCATGCTCCAAATATTTACACCGAGAATGTATCTTTCGGCGGAACTTTCGATTCCTGAATTCGAACACTCTCCATAAGACATATCCAAGCAGAAATAGCTGGGCGTATTGGATGGCTAGTACCAGTAATTTTAGATATGCCCGTAAATTATACGGGACTTAAGCTCTTCTTCATAAACATCACGGAAAGTGCAAGGCGAACGGACTCTAGATGCGATGACTACAAACAATTTTAATTGGACGAGGAAAAAATGTAAACGTCTAAACGATCCAAAACAAACAAGCGCTGTGGACAATCCATCAACACAAATACTAAAGTCGTTGTACTTTTTGTTATCATCACCCACCAATTGACTGTTGATATTTCTAAGAATATATTCCACTTAAAGTACAACTGCTTATTATTACTACACAATTCTCTAAAGTGCTTTGGTTTCTATTGAACTTTAAAAAACAAACAGTATATTTTTAAGTATTTTAGTTTCCTTTTGTATTATTATTATTACCAAATATCTCAAAGCTTCCTAAAGTTAAGCAACATGTGTTTTAGGTACTATGTGAATGGATGATCAGTATAATAAGCCAAATAGTAAATTAAGACAATCATCAAAATCTATAATACAATATAAAATTGTTTACGTTAGAGAATATTTTCTTGTTGGTTATATAAATAAACACTGCTCATAAAGTATGAAGCAAATCTGAAAATATATTGCTTACTCTCATATCTATTACTTTTTTTGTCACTTCGATGTTGTTTTTCTTTTTTCGCGCAAAATGTGTCAGGGCTCAGGTATTTCTAAGACTCTCTGCAAAAACAACATTCGAAGTAGATTTCTCAACTGAGGATGCCGTTCCAAATCTATGATGCGTTCGGAGGCATGTAAATAAAAAAATGTAAACAAAGTTGTAAAATAAAAATGTGCGCGGGTGGAAAATGAGGAGTACCGTGCACATAATTGATGGTTTCCATTGATATTTTTAACCGTTCATATAAACATGTTTCTTTCGGCCGTCGTCCTTCGCTATACGAAAAAGTATAGTGATTGTGACAAATAGACTTACCAACTACTAAACCTCCAGTGGTAGGTAATGGGATGTTGTCTAAATGGACAGAGCGATATGCCTGCTTGGTGGTAGAAGATTGGGTAGTCGACGATGTTGTGGTTGTTTTCTTAATGCAGTCGGTCTGCTCAGTAGTTTTGGTAGTTTCTTCAGCCTGAAATCAGAGAACATCATTGTACATGGTGCATATGCAAATTACGCAACAAAGTAATTAATTTAAGCGGTATTCCGTAGTTCTTTACATTTGCAATCCTGGCAGGCTCTACCAAAATAGTAGCACCCTAGTAGTGTCCAAGCTTGAGCAATACTCAACAGGTGCAACGCGACGACGCCTTCCAAGACAGCCGCCTGTTCCGCAGAAATGAATACTCAAGCATACCTAATAAATGCCATCAATTAAAACCGAAACGATTTACGCCAAACTTTCTGCCAAAACGATCGGCTTTCGCTCGATCTTAATAGCTCATTAATATGCTCAATTTGCTCTCACCTTTCAGCAAAGGCCAAACACCAATTTACGATCTTTCAGAACATCTAAAAATAGTGTCTGCAGCTATACCTTTACCGAGTGTCCACCCAACGTCACTCTTCATGGGGGGACACTGATAGAAGCACACCTCTGAAAATCGGGCTTTTGTTGACGCAATTTGCATTTATTCTTAAACTCACAGGTCCGCCTCCGGTCTTAATGCCAACAAACGTGTTTATTTCTTTTGATTAACACAAATAATGCATTGTTGCAAATATTATGGCACTGAAAACCGACAAATCGTAAATATTGCTTTTGGCTCTTTGCACACATAAATACATAAATTCATACATATTCAAAAAATATTTATAAAATAATTTCATTTTCATTCTTGTAACTTTCATGTGATATATTTGATTAAACTATTTCTTATTAAATAATAAATATCAATTTTTCTTAAAAACTAATACAATTATTGTTCTTGAGAAATTACTCTTTCCTTCACGAAATATAATATTAAAATGAAACTAAATATTCCTCTTCGCTTATTTTTTTTATTGGCATCGACAACATTTACTTTATTTGTTAAAATTTGTTTAATTGAAATTAAATATTAATCTTTGATATATTTTTAATTCAATTTACAAATTTCTTGGTTCATGGATTAAATTAAAAATATCTAATTTTATTAAATGGATGTAACTTATATAGAAATAATATGAATTGCTTTTATATATTGAATAACAATGATGGAATAATACCTAATACTGATTCATATACAATGGTAGAAATATATTTGTTGATCATTCCAAAAAAGAACGAGATATATTTCGAAAATTATGAAAAATTGTGAATTATATGAATTACTTGTAGCTTAAATAAAAGTAAATCTGAATTTCATATTATTTTAAGCTATTAAAGAAAATTTATAATAAAAGTTAGTTTATATAAAATAGTTTTAAATTGAAAAAAAGCTGGAATCGAAAAAATAAAGCGAGTTAAAATGTCGGGCCAGTGTATGATCTGTATTTCCAAAAATCGTAACAGCAAATCGAATTTGTTAGCGAATTTGAAGTCACGCACTTGCTTTGCAGGACATACCTATTCAACTGTGATTAACAAACTATTCTTTTTTTTCGTGCGACAGCACCGGTTAAGAGCCGAAAGACTAACTGAAAGACAATCGAATTTAATACTCTTTGCAAACAGAGCGTCCCTCCCGCCTCCTCCCGATTTGCTGAGTGGGTGCCCCTAACTACAAAGCGGAAAAGCGTCGCGACGTCACTCGATCAGTCCGGATATTTCGGGTTTCCATCAAGAAATCGACGCGGCCGCCTCCGCAGAATGCCAAAAGCAATCCAATAAAAAATTACGAAATAATTGCATGTCTGATTATGCACGCACATGCAAGGGGTTTATAATTAGATGTGCAATGTTTGTAATTAATATCGAAGAAGAGGGAAACGTTTCGGGGGCGGTCACGTATTCCGTCTGGTCCGAGGTGGGAGTCCTCCCAGTCCAGATTCACAAAATTAGATCTTCTATAACTGTCTCTTTCTTTGAGAATTTATATTAAAATATCATCTGCCACGGACCGTGGCAAGAGATTACGATCGCAGACCTAATCGAAAGAACCAGAAAGACCACTCGAGGATCGTAGAACCAATTAACACCTGGGCATCTAAATTTAATGATCTCATGTAATTTTAGTTGTCGAGAGAGAAGAACATACTTTTATGTATATGTGTGCATACTAAAAAGTTAGCGAAGACTTTTTGGTACGCAATCCACGACAGGTGCAACCACGATATCTCGTAATTGTTTTGCCAATTTTTTTCTCGGACCATACCATACATATATTTTTTTCATTATTTTAAAAATACTCGAAATTGTGTAATAACTCGTGGTCATGTCTTCTTCGAATGTGTGTTTTTTTGGACTCTGTAATGCGATATATCGATTGATCCAAATAGAAAGAAAAGAAAAAACAAACAAAACACGATTCAAATGCAAGGTAGATGCCAAGGTTTCACAAAATATAATAAACAAAGCACTTTTCAAACAACTTCTAAAATTGTAACTTTAAATTTCTTATAGCATATATCAATTAATCCAAGTAATAAAATGCAAAACTTGGAAACAAAATATTATTATTATATATTTTCAAAACAAATTTATAATATGTTTTTATTGTAATCTTCTAAACTGTCAACAGGTGATTAATTTAATTTAGCTTCGCGCGTTGGAATAAAAGGATTACTTAATTTCATTCATTTGTTTGTTTTCGCTTATAATGAACGTGTTTTGACAACAATAAATCAACGGTTTAGCCCGTTTCCATTGTGTCTGAGGATTTTATAGTTGCGTATAAATTCATGGCAATTTATTAAGTGGTTATTCGGTGTTATGCGAACGCCTGCACTTTAGCTGGTGCCGGTTAAATTTAGACCCGGTGTAAAAATACCGAAAAAGTAGAAGCACATTAATACTCCAATTACGAAAGTAATCTCAACAAGGTTTTTTTTACCAATTCGAATTCACTTTATATTGCGCGATACTTGTTATGATATGTGTGATTCTCGAGAAATATCATCAAATCTACGACTCTGAAAGTATATGCATATAAAATTATATAGTATTCTTAGTTATAATAATATATAAAATAATTTAAAAAAATAGTTAAGAAATTTTGATATTTTCTTTGATATTCGCAAATAAGAATCCGAGATGGATGGAGACGAAAGCTGTATTAATAAACTAAGCGGGCCACATGTTTCCCAGAATTTATATTCCACGGGGGCGCATAATAAAAGAATATTTATATATGTGGTCTTTTTTGATTTCGCATTTATTCTCCTCTCTTTCCGGAACATATGTATTTTAGTGATCTTCTATATTTAATCTGTCCTAAATATCGATCACATCCGCCAAATTCCAGAGCAATTTCATGAAGACCAGCACTGGTAGCTGCGTTGGATGTACGTAAGAAGTGCTGTCCACCTGCCGCTAGCATATCTTGATGCTTCTGCACCATACGCAAGGTCCCCAATTTAAAGTCAACGATCTCCAAAGCACTTATAAAATGAGACTGTACTACTATTTAGATACAAGATTGTAACTGAATGTTTGTATTCCAATACGATATTACCTACCTCTCGTGGAAAAAAAATTATGTAACATAAGAAGTTTAAAGTGGTTATGATATATTATGATAACTTTGAAAACGTTTAAGTGGCAGATAACAGAAATTTTGTCACTTGACATATTACTACAATACAACACAAGATACATTTAGACAGTAATTCTATGTAGAGTTTTATGTAATAGGACAAGTAAAACTATGCTTGAACATAAAGTAGTCCTGACAATGTATCAGTTAGTTGTACACAAAAATAGTAGAAGAAGGCTTAAGTGGTAACTAACAATTCGTTTTTGTTGTATTGAAGTGATAGTGACGATTGCTGAAGTGGAAGTGAAATGTGTGATGAGAGGCATTCAGATGGGTCAGATCTTTTCGAGATGTCGCAATCATGAAATGCGGTCCGTGGACGTGTGTTTACTTTGGAAAATGATATTCGTCCGCGTGACACATATATGTTTATGATAAATTTCTTTTTTTTTTTGCATTTTATTGCCCGACGTCTAAATATAAAATCCCTCTGGCACATTTCAAACCCAAATCCACGTCCGCTTCTCGGATTCGCTCTCCCATCCTGAATTATCAATCACATGCCCATCCGGAGGATACCGAAAATATCGCGTGATTCACGAGCTGTGACATGCGAATATTTCCATGCGGAGCAGCAAAACAAACATTTACGAACTTCGCGATACTACAATGAGGAAGAATAATAAACACGTTCGAAAGTTATTGATTCGTAAATATTTACTTTACGCGTCTAAGCTGCAACTCCTTCCGAAAGAGAAGTCGCAATAAATCTTGAGTTATTTTAGATATTGCTCTTCGGAGAGAGAGAGAGAAATGTTCAAATCTACATCCACACGATATTATCGAAATCTGATGATATTGCTTTCAGCAAATTCCAACAATCTGCGTATTTCCAATAATTCCTGTTATATTCAAAGCCTTAAAAACATGTTCCACTATTTTCTAATACGTCTTTAGAATGTTTTCTTCACTTGTAGTTAAATTTAGTTCCGAGCATTTTGGCATCCGCTTATACACATTTTCGTGTAAAATCTGTTTTCACGACGTTTCCAATATGCTCGCATCGTTAATAAAATTTAATTAATATACACGCTTTTTGCAAAGCGACTTTTATAAAAATAAACATCGAGATTTCTTTCTAGCATTTCCAGATGTTTCTTTGTCTTGATTTTTCGTACGATTATTACTATTTTTATAGAACTTGGCAAGCGCCTTCTGTCTTACTGAAGAAGGCATTGTGGATAATAGTTTCAAATGTTGATTAACAAAGGTAGATTATGAGGAGAAAACGACCTTTGTAAATCGTCCGGAAAGTTATTTACTAATAAACTTGTTGGCACTTTTCGATTGGACGATTACTTTAATTTGGCTGGCGTTTGAAGTTTACACGTGTTACGTTATCGACTCTTGGCATGATCAGGTCCATTGAATATATTCGATATTAATGAAATATTATTTTTGGCAGACTCACCGTGAATGTGTAGAAGCCACCGGGAACAGTCTGACCGCCGAATTTCAAATTGATTGTGTATTCTCCAGCGTCCTGAACGTTGTACAAGATGGTAAAGGTTCCATCACCATTGTCGAATATATTGATGTCCAAATCACTAAATTTAGAAAAGACCAGTTAACACCATATACAATTACAAATCAGTATTTCTAACCTTCCGGAAGTTGAGCGGATTTTGCACGTAACTGCACCTATACCCGCATTTTCCGTGTTTACTGTGATACGGTATTCCTCTCCGCTGCTCAAATTCCTCTGCACTCCCTCGGTGATCTTACATTTTTCAGCCTAAGAAAAAAAATACAAATTCATTCATGATTTCAATATTCATTTCATAATACTCACATCTCCAGTTGCGTAAGCTTGAAGAATATAAGGTGTTCCAGGGACTTCTTGTCCAGCATATTGCACTTCGACCTTGTATCGTCCACAATCGTCTGGAACGAAGGTTGCGTTGTATGTTCCATCACCGTTGTCGGTTAATTTTAATGGTCTGACGCTTCCATCTGGTCCCTAGAGAATTTGAAAATGTAATGAAGAACTACTTATCGTATAACAATAACTCACTTTAACAGTAACATCCAAGTCACCATATCCAGCCTCATTTGTATCGATTTTAAAGGTAGCTGGCAAAGATGCAGGGAAGCTCTCGCTTGCGCTGACTTTAATTTTGTCTGGCTCTGCGTAAGGACGAACCTTCATGTTGAATGGGCTGTTTGGAATATCCTTGTTGTTGTAAGTAATCTGGGCTTGAAGCTTAGCTCCATCGCCTGGTGGAATGTAGCTAACTCTGTAAGTGCCGTCTCCGTTGTCAATAACTTCTGGTTTCTTAGGAAGCGGACCTTGGTCAGAGATTATGTTAACGGCTAATGGAGCGCGCAGAGTCTTCGAAGCGTCAATAGTGAATTCAGTTGGTACACCGGCACGGCATTTCGATGGTTCTAGACCTGGTCCGTAGGCTTTCACCAAACTGGCGTCGATGCTCTTCTCGACCATAACTTTAAACGGTGATCCAGGAATATGCTGTTCAGCAAACTTAATGGTCACGTCATATTCACCTTCCTCAGAAGGAATGTATTTTACGGAGCAAGAACCGTCACGGTTATCTTTGCATGTCATCTTTGCTTCGGATGGTCCTTCGATGGCAAGGCCTAAACCTCCAGTACCAGCTCCCTTTGTCTCAACGGTGAATTCGTTCGCCTTATTTACGAAGCCTTGTTTCAATCCGGGCCCGTAAGCTCTGACCTTTTTGGCATCACATCCTCGTCTCACATTTACTACGAACGGTGATCCTGGCACTGGCATGTTGTCATAGAAGATGTCAATAGTATGTCTGCCTTCTTCGAAAGGAGTGTAGCTAACTTTGTATGTTCCATCCAGTTGTGGTGTAACCTTCTTCTTGGTTTGTGCTCCCGAAGGGCTTGTGATGGTGCAAGTTACTTTACCATCATCAGTTTCACCAGGTCTCCCCAAAGCCCTAGTGTCGACAAGAAAATCAGTCGGAGAATCGGCAAAAACACCTGTGGAAATGAAACACGTATAAGAATTCATTGTAAATTATTGGTATTATAAACACCATGCGATTAAGTAAAGCGCTGCAGTTATCAATGTTCTGTAAAAATATAGTTTGATGGCCAAATGCGAACAACACAAAACAACACACACATTTTACCATGTAATTGAACTCCGCAACCAGAAACTTTTATTTTATGCATATCAATTTCTGGTACAATTATAGCTTGATAAGGACTACCCGGTATATGGCATTCATTAAATGTTATATTTATTCCATAATCTCCAATTTCTGTTGGTAGATACGCAACTGAGCAAGTGCCATCGCCATTGTCTCGACAATTGATTGCAGCTTCGCAGGGGCCTTCCACGGTAACACCAAGACCACCCTGGCCGGCACCACGTGTATCGATCATGAATTCGGCTGGCTTATTCACAACTCCTCTATGGAGACCTGGCCCAGACGCTTTTACCTTCAAAGGGTCGCTTCCTGTTAGACATGTAATCTTATAAGGTCTCTGCGAGATCGGCTCTCCGCCGAAAGAAATGCCCAATAAGTACTCTCCTAATTGAGTAGGTGTAAAGTTCACCAGGTAACCCTCGTGTGTTGGAATTACATGCGCCTTCACTTTACTGCCTGATGGAGTAGTGATAGATATGGAAAATTCCGCTTTACCAGCACCTTGCGTGATGACTCTAAACTGTTGTAAGCTGTTCACCGGGGCCGCTAAATATATGAAAATTTGGTGTGAAGATTTGGGGCGATACATGACAAAACACACTCTGACTGGATGATTGATAGATAACTTTTTAAGGGATTTTTAAACAATACTCACTTGGTTCAAGGCCATCAACTTTGATCTTCGATATGTCGACGTTAGGAACAACTGCGAACTTCACTGGAGTACTTGCTACCTTTTCACCACTGTAGTGGAGGGTCATAGAATGGTTACCAGCAGATGGAGGTTCGTAGTCAACAGTGTATGTACCATCTTCATTATCAGTAAGTTGTACTGGAATTTGTTGTTTGGTATCTTCGTTTATTAGCAAAACTTCGACATCACCTTCACCAGCTTCCCTGAAGTTATGAAGACATGTAAGAATTTTGTTAAATAATAAAAGGGAATGAAATACCTAGCATCGATATTGAAATGAGTCCTTGTGTTTGCTTTGACTCCGTTTTCAAGACCGGGTCCAAAACATTGAACTTTCCCACTATCGACTGGTTCAGTGACATGGACTCTATAAGGCGAATTCTTCGTAGATACTCCGCCGTAGTTTACTTGAACAGTATGTTTGTTTCCACTGATTGGAGTATATACTCCTTCGATAGTTCCATCTGGTTTTTGAATGAGTTGAACGTCCAAGCTGTTTGAATTTCCATCAACAACTTTGACATCGACTGGCGCTGATCCAGCAGCCCTTGGGTCAATAGTAAATTTAGCCGGGACATTCTTTTGAATGCCCTTAGGTTCTATACCAGGTCCATACACTTCTACTTTGTCGGGATAATAATCTGTCATGGGTAATATCTGAGAAATGTAAGGACTTTTTGGAATGTCTTCGTCGTTGCAGAGAATGTGCACTGCATATTCGCCGGGAGCGGTCGGGTAGTATTTAACGTCTGCAGATCCATCTCCGTTGTCGAAGCATTCAATCTTTGCTTGTGACGGCCCTTGGATGCTGAAGCCCAATGCTCCAGTTTCACCGTTAGTTTCAACAACGAATAAGGATGGATAACCGACCACACCGCCGGTCAAACCAGGCCCATAAGCTCTGATCATCGTTTCCTTATAAGGACCTACGTTTACTTCAAAAGGTGACCTATAAATATCCTGACCGGCGAACGTCACCATAACCACATATCTTCCTTCCTTGCTCGGCTGGTAAACGGCGTTGTAATTGTAACCATCTACTTTCTCTATTTTACAAGGCACCTTGACTCCTCCCGGTCCAATAACATTAACATCGATTTGTCCTTCTCCAGCGCCTTCTGTGTTAATTTTGAAATCGGCATCATCTCCGACACGGACCCCCTTCGCCTGCAGTCCTCTACCGCTGGCCTTAACTTTCTTGGCATTTGAGACCGGCGTCACTCTCACTCCGAAGGGACTATTTGGAATGCTTCTTCCGGCGAAGAAAATGTTCACGGAATGTAAGCCGATCGTAGACGCCAGATACTCACACCTCCAAACATCAGGTGACGTTTGGCGGACTTTCACAGGAATCGCATCGTTTTTACCATTGGGATCCAAGATCACCACCTCTGGGACTCCTTTACCAGCATCTAAAGGAGATAATACAAATTAATTTAATGTCTATTTAAAAGTAACCACAAGTCAACAAACCTTTAGTGAAGATATCGAAATATGTGCCTCTTGCTACGAAAACACCATCCGCCAGCAGACCAGGTCCGGATGCTGTGACCTTAGTCGAGTCTCCTGCATGACCTTCTACTTGGACATAGTAAGGGCTCTTAACGACCTCACGACCGGCGAATTTAACAGTGATCTTGTGTTTTCCTTCTGCGGATGGAGTGTAAGCCACGGAATAGGTCAAATTCCTGTCGTTGTTAAATCTGACATCAACAGGTTCAGACTTTCCACTGGGATTCTCGACGGTGACGGTAACTGGGCCGCGACCGGCGGAGAAGGTTTCTACAGTGAAATTAGCCGGAGCTCCGACAACCGGTCCAGTTGGTTCGATTCCTGGACCGTAAACTCTGACTCTAAAACATGCAAAGAGGAATGTAAGAAAAAGCATTTGCTTGCTAAAACGCGTATCGAGTTGTAATTAGTGCACATGCAAAAATAAACAACGGATTATTGTTAAAAAAAAAGGACAAAAATAAAACAATACAACAGTCGTCCAAAAACCCGGACTTACCGAGGCGGAGGTATACTAAACGTGAAAAAAGAATCTGAATGAAATCCGTTCAAAATATGTTATGAACAATTATAGTTACCTATTTGGGTTAGTCTTCGGCCTGATGGGCGCTCCCTGCTTCAATTTGGCATTGGGATATTGGGAGAGGTAAGTCATCATACTCTGCTCATCGATGTTAGGGTTGACGATCTCCTCGGGTTTGATGAGCTGCGGTACGTTGAGCCAGTCATCGGCCAACCCCATAGCTTCAGACGCATTCTGCACAGAATCTTTAGGATCCCAATCCTATATAGAAAATTGCTATTAGTAATGGGGAACAACATATTGGAATGCAATCGAATCACCTCCCAGTCTGGACACAAGCCTGGTGCGACAGCGTCGACCAAAGCACCGACGGCTTTACCGCTATTCCAGTCTGTTGTGAAATTGTTAATTGGCAGCTCCGGAACCTTGCTTTGGATCCAGTTCATTAGTCTGAAAGAAAGAAGAGGCCGAATGCAAATGTCTGAATCGAGCATAAACACAATGGACAATGGTACCTTTGTTTGGGTGTAGGGCCAGAGCCACCGTTGCTCATTTCGTCTTCGCCCTCCCATATGGGCAGAGATATGGAGTAATGCAGGATCAACGTCCATATTAAACCTAATATCAGCTTCAATTTACAATCGACGATATGTGTGGAATCTGCGAAACAAAATACAATAAATCGTTAATTACAGTGGCCTCACGCTCTCTCGGCATTGAACGCTATGATGTAATCTTTCCATGCTAATGGATCGTCCCGAAATTCGATTTTATTATTGTAACTTTGAAACGACCTGAGTCTCTATTTGTTTCTTAAATTTTAATTGGTAATGATTTAGGAATCCAGTTTTGTTTCCTTGGCGATTACCTCATTGCACTATTAAAGTCTTATATGGTACGGACTAGGTTTGTTTCTTTTTCATGTTATTTTTATTAGTTGTTATAAGCTCATTGTTATTCGCTCATTGCCTTGTAATACTTTCGATCGATACTAACTACTTAACAGAGCACATTCGGAACGACGAGATGTACTGCATATATGTATCTCTAACCAGATTTTGCATTCCTCCGCACAAGAGAGCCTAATGAAATCTCGTCTCGTCGTAAATAGCAATTATTTGCTGCGACGTCAAGTCTCGTTCGGTTCACCAGAGGGATGACCATGAGACGATGAGGCATAAGATGTATTCAGTAGGGTTGGGCTTTGGGCCCAACGAACGAGTCCATCCGTCTACATTCTTAATAAACATAAACCGAGAGATTAGAAAGTAAGCAAACGTAAATACTCATTTATGTAGTACGTGTTTCTCTCTTTCTTAACCGTATGACCAAGAGATAAATTCCACCGACTTCCTCTTCTGATACCGCAACTTCGTTGTCGTTACAGTTAAACCCCGAATCGCGATTACGCTTTTCGCGTTCTCGCGGAAATAGAAAAAAAGCAACGATTATTTTTTTTTGATCCGTTGGAAACCAAGAAGACTCGTGCAAAGAGAAGAGTAGTATAAATTTAAATACATTCGAACGGCGCGGGTTATGCCAGGCTATCGACCTATGTCCTTCCTTAAAAATAAGTCTATAAAATACCCAAAACGCTGTATTTCTTTTTGTTTACAATATTCTCCTTATCTGTGACTAATATTGTATTTCGTTTATAAAATGGATAAAGCCAAAATATTCGTATTTATAGAAGCCAAACCAAGTTTGTTATCGCGATATGAAACGGCGTTGGTACTTAGCTTTCTAATCTTGAAACAGAAAGATATCAGTCAAAAATGCAGCGGAACGATATCATCATCAATGAATAAACAGAACAATTCCCGTTAAATTAACGAAAATACCAAATGCTGTGCAAGTTGCATACCGAAATTACATAAACTTGAATATGTACACAATATTGTTTCTGCAATTTGACTGAAAACTAATTAAGAAGTAAATTTGTTTATTTCGGGCAGCTTAATCATCTTCATGCGAAGAGAGCTTAACGAATTCACTTCCTTGAACTGAAGACAATTATTTCTTATATATCTCTGTACAAACGACAGATGACAAATGTCGTTTACGGTTTCTTTTTTAACTTACGTATCGTAATTATTAAAACTTTCCACCATTTAATATGTCGAATCGTTTACAGTTTTATTTTTAACTCAATTTCACAGAAATCTAGTTCACAACTTAATCGACATTTTCATTTGACAATAAATCCGATTGAGGTTTTCCAACTGATATTTTTTGTTTTCTCTTTATTGATTTATAGAGTGGTAAATGCGCAATTTATGTTGATTTCTAGAGGAAATACGATAATTACATCTTCCGTTTTATTAAAGGTAGTCATTTGATACCGAAATTTATTTCCAATTGAAAATTTAATGTATGCATGGTTATCGGATTTCAGTGTTTATGATGTAAATCAAAGTGATTTATAGCAAAAAATATCATGGACGGTTGCCAGAAGCTTTGGCGCAATTAAAATTATGATCAATCACAATTTTTATTAAGCATTAACTGCAACGTTAATTACATTTGTTTACAAAATCAATTATTGTAAATTATCACATTTGTTTGAATTTCATAAATATAGATAGAAATTTTAAATTAATTTAACAATGTTACTTTTTAAAGCAATTATTATATTTGTAAATTTTAAACAATTGAAACTTTATATTACTTAGAAAATATGAGTGAGTTTATATTTATTATGTACATATTTTTAAATTTAAAATGTTGTTTTTATTTGTTAAATATTGACGTCAGTAAGGAAATTCCAATGTTTAACTAGAAATTAGATTAGAATCGTGCAATGTATACACGGTGACAGAGATAACTCAAAGATTTTTCGACTTTCTTGTCGATTCATGCCTACATGAATCAAATATGAGTTCTTGGAAACTTCGTTTGAAGATGACTCAATTGAAATTGTCGGTATCGTCTTAGGATTATGTTGTAACCTCTTCGAACGGCCGTGAACAAAATAAAATATGATCCTCACAACGAGTTCCTGGACGACCGCGATTTGGGTTACCAAAGCGAAAGTAAATGTTGTTCGACGTGATTATCATAATGTGCCATACATATATAATAATTTAAATACGAAACAAACAAAAAAAATATATATATTTATATACAGAACAACGAATGCGCAAAAGATAGCGTTGTATTGAGGCCGAATAATTATTTATTGTTGTAGTTTTATCGTCGCTTCCAGTCGCAATCTAATTACATGTTAAATTGGGCGAAGAAACAAGACGTATGAAACTGGAGGAACAAGCCAACCTTGCGCGTTACGCAACCGTCCGTTTAAATGGAAACAAACCGTTCCCTCTTCTTATTCTTTTGCTGCCGTTGTTGCTTGTTTTCTGCATTATGGAAATGAAGAGCTGACGCCCAAAACGGATGTTTCGTTATGCTTTCCGCCATCGCGAATGCACTTCATACGATGACATCATTGCTCGCTCAGCGCTTTAATTGATTAATTGATGCTGTCGCCAATTAGAAGATGGAACAGACAACTCCGACAACTCCGAGCGACAAATGTCACGGCTGAAGCCTTTCCTTCCAAGGTGCTCTCCGATCAACATTGATTGGCCTGGATACCACGTATCAATCAAATCATTCGCCGCAGCATATTTTCTTGTTGTTTTTTTTTTAAATTGTCGTTTTCCGCGAACTCAGCAATTTCGGTCGGTCGTTACCGGTTCATTATAAAAGACATCAGCAAATTCCTCTTCTTTCGGTCAATTCCGAGGTGATGTCATGCCTCTTCGGCGTGATGTCATCGTCTCGTTATCACCGGACCAGAGGAATGCCACGGGACCCGTGGAAGAGCCGTTCCTACATTTCAAGCGTTGCGTAAACTCCGATAAACGCTTATCGCAGGAAGCTATACCAATACCAATAATAATAACAGAGGGAAAATATATATATATATAGAAAAAAACAACGACTTCGTAACGTATCGTTGGATAAAGAGCAAACAGCTTCGTCGGAATTTCTTTTTATTTGTGTTTTTTTTTCTTCTGTAGCCGTATGGGGGTGATGTAATATACGCGGCGCGGCGAAGAAGTTAAACTGGTTGGGCACCAGAAAAAGAAAAACGCTCAAGAAGAAAAAAAAACTACATTTGGATGTTTTCAACCTTGAACTTCCTTGCACCGCGGAGCGGCGAATTCGAGTTTTATACTTAACTCTCTACACTTTGTACGAAACGAAAGCGCACAGGAAGAAAATACGATTTAAGTAGTATTCAAAAGTACTTATCGTTCGTAAAAAAGCAGAAATGAATTTGTTAAAAAAATCGTATCCAATATATTTTCGATTTGTCGAAAGGTCGATTTGTTTATTGTTAGTTGAGCAACGTATGTAAACGGTGATAAGTTTGATGTTTCGGTTGCGTTTTGGGCTTACCTATGTTTACGATGCGTATGCCTTCGTCTTCCTGGAGGAACTTTAGGGCGACGGAGACGTTCTCGAGCTGCTGGGACCTGAAGGCCGGCCTCTTGTTGTACTTAGGCAGTCGACGGCCGGACAGCACCTCGACGAGGGTGATAAGGCGAAGGCCATCGCTGAGGTCGGTCTCCAGGTTCAGGATCTGCTTCTGGACAGTCTTCAGGTGCTCGTTTGCCCATCTCGTGAACGTATTCTGTTGTATTTTCTTCCATTGTGCGTCTTCGGCTAGCTCGCGCTCGGTCGCAGCCATGTCGTTGTCGACATCGACCTCGTTATAATCTCTCATATCGTTGCCGAGACTTTCAGAGGCTGACGGTTCCCCCTTCTCATTCATTTTACCTTTGCCGATACCGCAACTACGCGATCTGACCACCAGAACTGAGCACCTTCTCTTCGGCCCGTACGAACGTTATCCTTCTAACCCTTTTGAAACTACCTACAACAATTAACAAAATTAATATATAACTAAACTCTTTATATACAAGAACATCCACCCCCACCGCAGGAAACTACCCCAAAATTATCTACTAATTATCAAACTATCTATAGACTAATAGCATTCTACCTGCGGACACACCCTTTCCGTTTAGCAAAAATATTTCTAGTATTAGCGTCATTAATTTTATATTTAAATCACATTTAAGTTCACAATATTTACAAAATTAATTGCAAATATTTTAAATACATTTGTTTTTTTTTTTCAATATTTTAATTATAAATTAAATGAATATTTACAAATTTACATTGTAACGCCTACATAATATACAACATTTGATAACACAAATCAAAATGAAAAGTAATCTCATTAACGCGAATTCTCATTGGTACAATAAAATCATTAGTAAACAATCCAAATAGGACGTGTTTTTAACTCCATTTTTAGAATGAATAATCGGTAAATATAGATGTAATCGTCATTATTTTTTTTCTATTTTTTTTTAATGATGCATCGATGAAATTACGCGGTTATAGAATGATTATTCACTGAGACCTATCTCAATCTTTCTCTCCGCAAAATTTATCATTTTAAGTTATTTTTTATCCCATTATAAATATCATCTAGTATTGATAAAATGCTGTAATTAAAAACATACATATCTCTATAATCAACGATTATTATTTTGTATTTTCTTATGTTATTAATTCAAGTGTTTAAACTCAGTTAAAGATTATAAATGAAACGTTTATAGCTCTGTTACTATTTGTTTTAATACAAGTAAGAGCAGATATGCTTTTAATAACTTCGTATCAGAAAATTTTCCTTTAATAAATGAATGATTTATTGCGCTTAGAATTGTTTCCATTTTACTCGCAGAGAAAAAAAAAATTGCTTACAAAATAATGTTTAAAAATAGTTAGTTTGAAATTATATTTCAAAAGTTGTTTTCTTGGTGCGAATGTAATTTCGGAATTGGTTTCTGATTGGAATGCGAGTGCAGCAATTAAGGCGTATAAACTCGGTGGAATAAAGGAACGTAAAATAAATATTTTATTTAAATTTGATCGAAGATATACAGAGCGATGCTAAAATTGTTCCAGTGACTCAGTCATAATTTCTGCACGATCTTCACTTTTTTATTTTTTTCCTTCCAGAGCAATCCTTAATGGAATTCATCATCACAGATGATTCAATTAACGCCTTCAATTAAACGTTGAAGACAAACAAATTCATCATCGCTTTAAAATAATAACTCGATGATTTTGTTTTCTTTCGTAATACCAATATGTTATTAGCGTTGACGTGATTTTATGAGGTTACAAGGAAAATGTGCCTTATCAACATTAAGGAATAAAAAAAAGGATTATTTGTTGATTATCCGCTTAGTCACTTTAAATGTAAGTTCCATGTAATTTTAACGGTTTAATCTTATCGTCGTCGCATTTTTTTCTTCCACAGTCACGGATTTAAAGTATTGATTATTAATTGCATTCTAGAGTGGTTTTATACGATAGAAAATATTTATGGTACAATTAATTTATACAATTTTAATTAATAAATCAACATTCTGATATTAAAATTTTTGAAATACATAATTTGAATATATAAACTGTTATAAAGTATACAGATTTTGAATCCGTAATTGGGATACAAATTAATTCAAATAAATTATTATTCTAGTATTAAATAAAATAATCAAACAAATTTTATTTCTTAAATTGGAAATAGAATGTCTTAATTTGAAGTAAAATATTGAATCAGTTGTTCTGTGTATGCAATACATTTAGGATTTCGTTCAGAACCATAATTAAATGTAAATATTGTTCAATTTCAAACTCCATCCATAATTAACGTTGTATAGGCAACCAGACTCTCTCAAGTTCAAATGCCTTAAGAGTTTTGTGCAGGAAAATTACCAATTGTTTTGATATCCAGTGACCTTAATCTTGTATAAGTTGGTTTGTGGCAGGATGTTGTGGTTCCTTGATAAGGCGCCAACCTCCTGTGGGTTTCGCCGCACGTATGGGAATCGTAAACGGCATGCAAATGCTCCATTAATATTCCGGGAAAAGGCTCTCACATCCTTTGGCCTTCGGAAGGACGCGCATCTTTGTGCGATAGCATTGTGCATTGTATTTTCTTATGGATTTAGGAATTAAAATTGAGCAAAATAATATCAATCACATGCTCAGGCGGTGAATCCGAAAATGTGTACTAAAAATTCTCAGGTGATTCAGAATGTGTAAAAGAGACCGAGTGCGTGCGAAGGATTCGTCGAAATTACACTTAAATATAGACTGTCTGTGGCGGTATTCCTTTTATTTTTGATTGGTCGGAGATGAGGTTTAGTAGAAGAGGAGTCCTGGTGACAGGTCGAATAGCAACATTGTTTTTAGGACGTACCTTTCGAGAATGTTCCGAACCTGCTGGAATGATGGTCTCCTCAGGCGCGCATCCTTCGCGTGGGTATCCTCCGCAGAGACGATGGTGATGGCCGGTCGCAGGACAGCAGTAACAATAATGGTAATTTTATCGGGAGAGTGGAACGACGACGACTCTGCGAGAGAAACGCTCTCTGAAAACTTGTTAGTCTAAAGATATATAGTAGGTATCTAACTAATAATAGCATAAGACACTATGAGTTTAGATCTTTATAAACCCCACTTTCGTTCAAAAACGTACTACAAGCATATGCATGTGTACGCGAAAGCCAACCACACGCGTCCACTCTCGCTCGCACCAGCACATGCCCTACCAAAAAATTCCAACAACATTGAACATCCCCCCAGAATACCAAAACAGTAGTACACTCATCAAGTAAACAGCCTATACACAAACAACCTCAGCCAGAGGTTTCTTCACTTTTATACACAGTTTTTATACTGTCTGTAACAACCCTATCTGACTTTTTCCTCTTCCAAAATCATTTCATAATTAGCATCAAGAACCTAAGAACACTACGCTCATTCATAGCTAAATATCTCAAGAGCCTTTCCGTTTTTTATTATTATATAAACAAAACAAAACTTATTCTTTACTAATACAAATTTAGTATACTTTCAATAAATGAAATTCAAATTAAAAAGTTTTACATAACTTAATTTAACAATATTAAAATGTTAAACCATATCTAAAAAGAATGATGAAAAGGCGTTGAATCAGATGTAGGTCAATTTTAAACAAAAAAAAATAGTGTTAAGTAGATGATCAATTACGACATCCAAACAGATGTGATTCAATTGTTTTTGTTTTGTTTTGCGTTTGCTAGTGTCATTTGGATTTAGGTGTCACAGTTTCCGTTTCGGAGGAACAAAAGATTAATTATTTATTTGGCAACAAAAAAAAAACGTAAAATAATAAGCAACAAATGAAGGAAATATAGGATAGACTATAGATTGATGAGTCAATCGCATCTGGCGGTTAATGCAAAGTAATATAATTAACTTAACCGTGAGGTATCGAATCCAGAATGTTCCTGATTGGAATTAGAGGTTGATTCACTGGCCTTTCAGATTGCGCCAAAAATGCAGAGCAGGCTTTCGGGCGAGGCGTATTATTATTATTGCGTTTCGATTATATTTGGCGAAGCGACGAAAGTTTCCAAGTGCTAAAGAGCGGCCGTCTCGTTCATGTCCCATATTCTGTAATGCAAGAGAACAGCAAGCACGATTGGAAATGTAGCCATATAAGATAAAAAAATATGTGCAATAATGTTATCCGTGCCAGAGACCGTGTCACCATATAAGGAGTAACTCGTTTCATTACGCGTTGCCTCCTTTTTTTTTCTCTTCTCTTGTATTTATATATATATGTATATACAAATACGTGTCTATCTTATTTAGCTCGCAGCGGATTCCATATGGCCGAAACCGAAGGGGCAAATGGGATTTCTCTGGGGGAAACACGGTTCCATGGCGTAGACACGAATGTAGGTGTCTGCGCAAATGGACAGGATGTAGAACAATGCTCGACCAACGACCGGAAATCCATATACATGGACACATACAAACACCTGATCCATTTGATTTGGATATAGTATGTACGAAATTATTATTTCAATTGCGCAGCATCACAGAACAACGCGCTACGAAAAAACCAACAATATCCGTCACGAATAACAAATGATTTTCCACGTTATTTACGTCTTCCTTACCCTCGCCGTTTCCTCCCTCAGATCACAGTCCGGTAGAGATCGAAGACCTTCCATCAGCATCCCTCAAGGAAGCGTTGTTGGGGTAAGTTCTATTCAACAAAATCTTAACAGATTAATGACTATGTAACTTTGTAGACAAAACTGTACGGTGATTCAGGAAAAGTATCTTTTGCTTATTATGGAATTCCTTACGCTACTCCACCTATTGGCCCTTTGCGCTTCCAGCCTCCTCAAAAGCACAGAGGTTGGAACGGCACCTTGCAAGCCTACCAATACGCTCCGAGGTGTCCGCAGTTGTCTTCCATGGATAACTACAATGAAGACTGCCTATACCTAAACGTGTGGATTCCTGAAGTTACCTTATTCATAGTACCAAACCAATTTTCTATTAATAAGAGACTCAATTTCAGAATGCCCAAAGGTACGGTTCGGTTCCAGTGTTGATTATTTTTGAAGGATTTGAGTACGCGAAGAGCAACAAAATTCCCATTCCTGGACAGAATCTGGCCATGGAGGGTATTGTAGTGGTAACGGTGAATTACCGTTTAAACGTATTCGGGTTTATATGCATTGGAACAGCGGACCTTCGCGGGAACCTTGGCCTGATGGATCAGTATCTAGCCATGGTTTGGGTAAAAGAGAATATACCGCATTTCGGTGGAGATTCGGATAAAGTAACGCTTTTCGGACATTTGTCCGGTGGTGCTAGCGTGGTCTATCATATGATATCACCTAGGACTTCGGGACTCTTTCAAAAAGCTATTTTATCGTCGGGAAGCGTTTTATCACCCTGGCACGCGCCTACTACAAACTTCCATGCATCGCAGAAAGTAATAAAAAATTTAGGTTGCGATAGCTACACCGAACTTCTACAATGTTTGAGAACTAAATCTACTCAAGATATATTGAAAGCTTATGAGGAATATATAGAGGTAATTGATAGATAAATATTATAAATATACTTTGAATAATTTTAAAAATATTTAGTCGGGATATGCTCCGGAATCGTTTATGCCCGTGGTTGATACCTTTCTTCCGGCATCCGATCAATACTTACCTATAGAGCCATCTCGCGCATTTAAAGAAGGAACTTACATACAAGTTCCTCTCTTAACAGGAATATCGAAACCAGTTGCAGATCCTCAATTTAGTAAGTAATTGAATCGACTTTCTAATTTCATTTAATTCGCGTCAATCTAGGCCAGTGGATGGAGCTGGCGAGCCAAGGGTCTATGAACTTGCAGCAGTTCATGGAACAACTAAAGATACCGGAGATACTCCGACGTTATCAATTTATAAACAAAGAAGAAATTGCTGAGCTTCTGAAGTGGCGTTACGTGATGCCTGCACAACAGGATGCTCGTTCTCTGTTGGAACAACTGAAAACTTTGGATTTCGAGGCCAAGATACAGGGACCAGAGATTTCACAGCTTAAGGAATTATCAGAAACTTATAGTCAACCAATTTATGCTTACTTTATAGATGAAGTTGGATTTGTATTGAATGCAACAGATTCATCTTTTACGACGGATCTTCTTCTCCTCTTTGGGCCGTTTCTCCTCAATCAATTAGGAAGGAGAAGATTCACTTCGAACGAAACTAAATTCAGTACGCATTTAAAGCAACTGTGGACTAATTTTATCATATTCGGGTAAAATCATATATGAAAATAATTAATTTATACCTATTATTGGACTTGTAGTAATCCAACTCCAAATAATCATAAAATATGGAGAACGTATAGCCATAACGATTATTACGTGGAGGAGTTCAATGAATTTTTAAATAAATGGACAAACAATAGCATTGAAAAATATAGGAAAATATCGTTTTGGACTGAGCTTCTACCAAAAATGAAGATGCTTTCAGATTTGAATTCGAAACCAAAAGAATTCCATTATAGTCCAGGTGAGTTATATGATCTATTACATTTATAATATAAATATTATAAAAATAGATGTATTAAATATATATTGCAATCTCATATTTTCAGATCCTGCAGCTGGTTTTAAACATGCCATGTATACGTTAGTGGGATTAGTAATTGCTCTGTTAGCACTCCTGTTGATATGCATTGTCCTTTTAAAAAAGAGAAACAGACAAAATGAAAGGCATTTGCATATGGGCTACTAGGATAGTGTTATTTTTGTATCACGTAATTGTTCTATAAATAAATTTTAAATATTTAAACTGAAAATACTGTTTTGTATATATGCAACTTCTTTTTCACACATTTTGGCGCCAAAATAATATTTTTGTTTCACCTTGAGGTTAAATTATTTTTCAATTGGATTAAAACTATGGTACGGACAGCAGCTACGTCTATTAAAGGTTTGTTTATTTGTATAATATTTAAATTATTAAAACTATATATTATTAGTTGGTGCCAAAGCCAGTAAGGGTGGAGGAGGTGCTAGCCGGGCTAGCACCATCAGATCAAGTTCTTCCTCTGGAGGTGCCAGCAGAAGAGGTAATATACACAATTTAAAAAAGCATATTTTTTTATTGCATTACTTTTTTTTAGCTATTGGTGGAAATAAACTTGTATCCAGGCCAACACCAACATGGCAGAAACCTATTACTAAGTTTTTTGCTGGTGGTGATAAAATTGCACCTCCCAGCAAATTGGAATATACAGAGCAGGTCTGTGAAGAAGAAGTAATAACTTTAGAACCTCCTCATTGGCAGACATCTGTATCCAATTTTCTAGTAAAACAGTCTGATATAATATCAAAGGAGGATATTACCTCTTCATCACCAAATATTGATGAAGTTCAATTGGATGCAATAGTTCCTAGCCCTGCTTATATTGAGGAAAAAGCTAAGAAGATGTTAACAGTAAAACCATCAAAAGAAATGGAAAAACCAGAGCAAGTGAAATCTAAAATTGAAAAACCTTCTATGGAAGATCAGGTTCAGGCTGGACCAAGTTCATCTTTAAGAAGATATGTTGAACAATGTAATACCTACCCACCATATCCTGAGATGGACAATAATAATTATATGCATAACCAGAACTATCCACCTCCAAATGAAATACATGTAAGACAACATCTTAATGAAGGAAATCAAGAAGACTGTGATCCAGAAATGTTTGAAAATAACGAAAATGATGCTTACATGGAAAACCAGAATTATCTACCTACACATCAAGAAATTGAGTACCATAAAAATGGAAATGTTGAAAATATTCCATCTGACTGTGAAACAGAAATTTGTGAAAATAAGGAAAATGAATATATGCCTGAAGCTGAGCACTTGAACCCTCCTAAGAAAAGAAGGTTTGCAGGGTACAAATACTTAGAAAATTATGAATGTCCAAACCAAAAGTGATTTAGTTTATATTGTTTTGACTAATGTTATGTATTCTGTTTAATTATACGTTGTATCTTTTTTATGAAATAAATTACCATGCTGTATTATATGTTGCATAAGTTACTTAAAGTTAGGTTAGAATTCTATATAGAAAACACTCCTAGTTTTAAATAAAATGAATTCTACTGATCAAAATGTTCGAACGGTGAGTACTAAATTCTAGATTAATAAATAAATAATGTTTCTCTTATTATTGGTTTGTGCAGTTCCGGGATTTTTTGGAATTCTACAATTTGATGTCCCAAACTTGTTTCAATCATTGTGTTGATTCATTCAAATCAAGGCAGTTAGAAAACCATGAGATTGACTGTGTTGAAAAATGTGCCCATAAACTAATTAGATTCAACAATCGTAGCATAAATGTATATGCTGACATACAAGTGAAATTGATGACAAAAAGACAGAAGGAAATGGAAGAGAAAGATATTCAGAACCAAGCAGCAGCTGTAGCAGCAGCAGCAACATCCACTGTTCCTCAGGAAACAAATGATATTGTTGATAATCAGCAAAATTAGATATATTCTAAAAAAAGTAGTAATAAATAATGTATGAGTCCAATGTATGTATTGTTGTATTGGTTGGTATACCAGCATCGGGTAAAACCACATTTTGTCAAAGACTATCAATCTTAAATGGTTTCAATCTCCATGTTGTGTGTTATGACAAACTGTGCAAGGATCATTTGAGTAACTCCAGAAAATTAGTTTTTCAATCTACAAAGGAATTGATACATTCATTAATAGTTAATAAGAACGAGAACCACATTCTTGTCATTGATGATAATATGTACTACAAAAGCATGAGATCAGAATATCTTAATTTATGTAAAGAAATTAATATAGGGTTTCTGCAAGTGTTTTTTGATATACCTCTCAATTTGTGTATAAGTAGGAACAGGCTTCGTACAATCAATAAAGTACCTGAAAGTATAATTCTAAAAATGCATCAAAAATTGGAGGAACCTATGGATAATCATTTTGTTATATCATCTACCAACATAGAAAATGAGGTGATTGTTAATTTTAATAGACATTGCATTGCAGCTTTTAATGAACCGCAGCGATTCACAATCGTACGAGAAATAGTGTCTTTACCCCTGAGTGAATTGCAAAAAGTCGATCTAGTGCTCAGACAAATCGTTTCCAGTAAAATACAGACAGATAGGAGTAAATTGCGAGAGTACAATGGAACGAAACAGTTGATTTTTAAACGAGTTAAAAGTGGAGATATTCAAATCCCATCTTCAAATGATCATTTGCATGCATACTTGTTGAAATACTTTAATATTGAATAAACAAGTCAATAAATAGATAACTAAAATATTATTTTAATTACATCCTCAAATATAATCAGTTCCCAAAATATAAATGTGAGGTAAGTATAAAAAAAAATCAAAAATAAACATTTAATTATGAGATATACTGATGTGAATCTGGATATTAACCAGAAAATTAACAAATGGTTTCAATTTATCTATGTATCTGATAATTATTTTCTGATTTAGCTTAAATGTATATAACATTTATGATGATGATTCTTTGGTATTTATAGGTAAAAATTAAAGAAAGTTTTGATTTATATAAAATCTAAATGATTTGTAGGAGGCTGCGAATACGTGCAAATACCATAGCAACCTATTGGATCAATACAGGAGTCTAGTCGCTAGACGATCTTGCGCAATCATGACCTGCCTACTAATCGATGGAGCTGTGACTATCCCAGGAAAAGCGACGTTGGCATATCAGACAAATCAATACACGATGCATTTATACAATCAAATACATGGTTTAATATTACGCGCAATAATTTTCCTTTATGGGTTCCAATTGTCGTCCGCAATTTCTCCATGTAAACACTTTGAACTTTAAGATTATTATGCAACTTTCCTCTAGCGTGCACAAGCACAAAAAAATGCATATTGTGTTTGCATATAAACTGCACATGAAACTTACGACATCCATAAACTTTGAGATGTTCAGAACGCTAAGACTAGAATTGCTAATTGTAATAGTTTGCATATCGTATGGAGAATCTAGATCTATCATTGACCAACGTTATGAAATAAGAGAAGATGGATACTTCTTTAGGTTTGTGAACTATATTTGTAAAGACATAATAAATTTATTTTCATTATTTTCAGTTATTCGACGAGCGATATGATTAGCAGAGAGGAGACTGGAACAATAGAAAACAACGGCAGAGATAACGAGAATTTGCGAATCATCGGCAAATACAGCTTTATTGATCCATTTAATATAATGAGAGTTGTGAATTATATAGCAGATAATGAGGGATACAGAGTTTTACCTAAAGTAGCAGCCTCCGGTGGATACGTTCAAAATTCTATTGAAATAACTAATCAAAGGTCACAAGAAGAGAAAGGCATTTCGAGTTGTTTGTTAAATTCTTTGTGTGGTTCAGGAATATAATTCCATCTGTGACACATGATTATTTTATCATTTTAAACCACTAAATTTTTACATTTTTTATTTCCATCAATAACATACATATATAAAAATGTAAATAATTTGCTTGAAGAGAGTAATGTTTATTCAAAAAGTTTTTACAATGATTGAAGTATAGAAAAAAAAATATTCGATGACTTTATTTTTAGTGTTTTGATGTTTAACTTATTTTTCTTGAATTTAATCCCGTTTTAAATTTTCTAATGTTAAACAATTTATTTATAATTATCTTGTTAATATATATATGCATATTTTATATTACTTACCTCAATAAAGTATCTTCTTTAAATAACAAAAATGATAAATGATTTTCATCATCAACCTCAAAGTGTAGATTAAAGTTACAGACAAATATCTATTGGGATTGGGGAGGAATGTTTACAATGAAAATGAAACGAAACATATGCCTTTCTTAAGATGCGTTTATTTTTTTCGACGAACATTTTTTTATCTTCTCTGATGAGAATTTTTTTTATAGTTTCACATTTTTATTTTTCGGCGGGGCGCAGTTTTCCGAACGATTCACTTCCGGATTGTTTCGGATTTGAGAAGCTGGAAAAGGGCGTCCCCAGCTCGCGGATTCCTCTCCGATAGTTTCGTCATGGAATATTCATGGATCTGTCTCCACGTTTCGAATCTCCGATGTTTCCATCGGAAAAGCAAACATGGAAATTTCACATCTTTACGTTAGGTTATTTCAATTACGAGATAGACTTGTAATATTCTCAATACATTGCATTTGTTGTCTAATGCTCTAACCATACATTTTGTGTTTTTTCTTTATTATTATTATCTTTTTTTTTATTCCTTAGAGTGTCTTTGGTAGGTGTATCCGCTGAGAGACTTCACTCTCAGGGATATTCAAACGACATTTTTTATTCCCATTATATAATTCGCGCCTTTACGTTGCGAAGTCCAATATAAGTTTTGAGTATAGACACATATCATTCCTGTTATGATCCTCGAGGAAGTTTCATTGCCCAGTTGTTGTAGGGTCCGTTTTCGTCTTTTTTTTTCTCTTCTTCTACGCCTTCAATATATCCTTTATGCGTGTTGATACATGCTGGTGTATTTTGAGGCCATTACATTTGTGTGTGTGTGTTAGATTCAATTCTACGCTAGGTTATATAGTGTAATAAGCAAGATATGAGAGAAACGGATGTCTAGGAATATATTTTAGAACATCCAAAAATCGATTAAAATTGAAGAGCTGTCCATCATAGCGATGAACTTTGAAGTTTCGTCAGAAAATCTGTATCACTCCCACCTCCATTTCGTCCTGAAAACAAACAATAAAGCAATATATTTTATGAAAAAAATGACAATAATTGGAAACACATTATAATTTAATTCGAAATAAAAGTTGTTAATTCAATAGTTTATATCAGTTGAGGCGGAAATCAAAGACAAGAAAATTTTTAGAATTCTTGTGATGAAATCTGTTTTGGTGATTGATGACGTACAGGAAGATGCAGGTGCACCCCCACTTGCAATCTATTGGATCAATACAGACGATCTTGCGCAAAACTAACCTCTCCAAAATCGATGGAGCTGTGACTACCCCAGGTAGTACACAATTTATATCATTTTGGCACCACACCCATATTATTTGAGTTATTCAATTTGATAAACTTCAGGGAATATACAAAATAAAAATCGAATTGATCACGTTACTATGGAGAGGGACATACATAGAATTGTGGATGCGCCGGGTACATACATAGAAATATTGCACATTGAATAATAACAATGATATAACATCAATATTTGAAGCAAACATACTGATATAAAACCACACCCTTGCTAAGGTGATTCGGATTTGGGAGACAACAAAAATTGAAAATAAATTGTTAAAATGCTTGTGTTGTGTTAACAGTTGTAAGTGTAAGTTAAAATGATTGAAATGTGACTGTGTTAAAGTAAGTAAAATTTGTTGGACTTACGTTTGTAAGAACGTTGCGACACGGACGAAGGTTGGAGCTGAACTGTGAGGAGGACAAGGGTGGAATCGGTCACCTAGTCCCGGGGTGAACACTGTTGCCAATTGGTAGCTCGATTGATTACCTAGTTGAGCAGGACCAGTCGAAATCAGAGGTAGCCAGATTCGCGATGTTGCCCTGCCATTAATTGCGACGCTACGCATTGACATCCCAGACATCCTGCAGCGCGAGCAACAGTAAGCATCCATGCATTTGTTAGATGCATCCCCAGACAGCGTTTGTCATTCAAACAGCAGCTTTTTAAACTTTTGAACAGAAATATTACGAATAAGGTCCATTTTGCAAATAGTTATATATGATAGTGTAAGAACTCCAAGTATGTGAGTAATTTTGAGATTTTAGTTTTATCCTTCATTTTCAATTATTTGTCAAGGTATTCAATATCACTTTAATCTTTTGAATTGAAAATTATCAATTGTAAATATTTCAAAAGTTGAGTCATGCATGTAACTAAACCTAAACAAGAGATCCACTTCGGCCGGGCATATTCGAATAAACAATATCGTATGGCAAAATTCTGTGTCATGGCTTTGAATTACTCTTATTGTTTATACGAGTGATGTATTTCCTGTCTACTTCCAAAGGTTTATTCAGTGTTCAACTCCCACCACAAGTAACTTTACTCATATCGCTCGTTCCTAAGCTCGGCCGAAGGTGCTCGATATCCCTGCCACTACTTACTGTAGGTGCATACTTGACAGAATTGACAGTACTCAGTCGTGAAGTGATTTCAAAAAAGAAAGCATCAGTGTTACTGCTTAGTAAGTGCTATTTGAGCAAAGGCGTCTTTTCTTGGTTCGTATATCTCCTTACTTACTGATAATCATGTAGTGTTTGTTTCTAAAGCTGTCATTGTTCCAATAGAATTCAGCAATGCCTGGATACAAGAAGTCCAAGCAGAAAAGGAGGCCTAGGAAGAAGCCGCAGGCCGCTGAAAAGAAGGATGTTAACACCCAGAAGCCCAAGGCCAAACCAGAAGATATATCAACTGCTTCTACTCCTGAAATGAAGCTTCACGACATCGATGAAAGACAGCATTCAACCTGGTATGCAACAACCGATGGTTCTGCTATGGCTGCTACGTCTAGCGATGTCCAAAGGGAGAGCTCCGAAGCTATGAATCCCGATGATGATGAGTACAAGCAAGACGCTCTATCAGAAATTTCTGATTTTAGTACTCGCTCTTCGGAATTCGAAGTTCTCTGGAAGAAATACCAAACCGGCGACGAGGCTGCACCAAATGAATCAAAACAGGGTAAAGAGGCCAAATTTGGCTATGAATCTTCAGATGGTGCTGCTGGCTTCGTCGAGATGAGACGTTCCAAGAAATACTTTGATGAAACCACGCCGGTGCTTGGACCAATGGCTGAAGCAGAAGAATCACCAATTAAAGCTGAAGGTATTACATATGTTTGAGTTGTTATAGATAATTAATATAACTTGCAACCTTACAGACTCTCCCAATGAAGATCCAGAGAAGGTTATGGAATTGATGATGCCTGCGAAGAAAGTTGGTCACTATTCGTTAACTAACATTGGTAAAGAAAACGCTCAAAAGACACATAGTATTGCACCATCTGGAGATATCGAACGTCCCGTAGGAGGAACTTCGAGGCAAATGATTCCAAAGACTAAGGCTTTGAAGGATTCTAAAAATGACGAAGGACCAAAAAATACTTACAATCCAGAAGATAAACTGCAGGATAAATTAAAATGTCTTGAAAAAACAGATAACACCAATGATGTTGCTAAGAAAAGTTCTGGTGCAATTGCTAAAAAAATTGACGAAACAAGTGATAATACGAATACTTGCAAAAAGAAGAAGAAGTCGAATAAGAAAAAGAAGACTGCGCCGTTAATCGAAGTAAAATTTGAGAGCACAGAAGCCGTCAATCCTAAAGATGACAAACAGAAGTCTCTATTAGAAACTTCTGATATTTGTACGCACTCTTCGGAGGACAAGGAAAAACCAAGTGCCGAAGTAGCTGCATCGAACAAAAATAAACAAGATGAGACCGAAAAAGCTTTTGCAGAGATGAGTTGTGCTAAAAAGCATTCTGAAGACTCCCAAGATGTGAGCAGCACATCATCAACACAGGAGCTGATTGGAGAGTCTCAAGAACAAGCAGATGCTACTGAATGTAATATATTTATTTTTTGTACCTCCACGTTACTAACTATAATTCTTAAGTTCCAGACCCTCCCATCGGCGATCCAAGGAAACTTATCAAATGGGTAATTTCTGGACAGAAATTAGCTTGTACATTCAAACTAAGTTCTTATGCACCAAGAACATTTGATGAAAAAGACTCTACCGTCAAAGAGGATACTTCAAATATAGAAAACAGTACATCTACTGAAGATAGTTCTACCGGAGCTACCAGTTCTATTAAAGAAACTGCTCTAAATGACGAAACCAATAAGGAAAATCCTTCTGAAGACACTAATGAAGACAACGGACAACAAACTGTATACAGCCCAGAAGATAGAGCTGAAGAGCAAAATGAAATGAAAGAGGAATTTACCAACACCAATGATGGTGTAGGAGAAGTTAAAAAGAAGAGTACGGAAAATGCAAATGAAGTGAAATCTTGTAAAAAGAAGAAATCTGATAAGAAAAGTAAATCTGGAAGTATTAATCCTGGGACCGATAAGCTAAAGTCGGAGGCTCTAACAGGAATGTCTGATACCAGTAAGAAATACCAGATCGAAGAAGCAGATGAATCAAATCAAATTAAACAGGGTAACGGCAGCGAATCTTCAGATATAGCTGTCAATGGTGAGCAGAGATGTGCCAAAAAATACTCTAATGATACTGAAGAGATACAGTGTAAAACATCATCGCCAGATCCGGTAAGCGAGGTAGCAGGATCTCAAGGTAGCGCAGTACCAAGTCCAGGTAGTAATACAGACATTTATTTACCCATAGTTTGCTTATTATAGTTTATGAACTTCCAGTCTCATCAAACAACGATCCAACTGAGGATAGTGAAGAATCTTCAAGACCTAAGAATATAAAACAAACCACTCCAAATCAGCAATTAAATCTTTCTGAAAGTTCTAAGGGAGATAATAGAGAAGAGACCGTACAGCAGCCAGCAGACAAAGAAAATAAAAAGAAATCTCCTAAGACAAAGAGTTACCATGAAGTTGTAACGAAACTTGATAATGGAAGCTCATTAAAAATCAACAAGAAATGTTATAAGAAAAAGAAGTCTTTGCCAATAACCGAAGTCCAAAAGGACTCAGAAGTGAACATGTCAAAGAAAGATGATCTTTTTAAGAAACACCAGACTGACGATAAAGTTATCCCATCAAAAAATAAAGAGGAAAACGATGAAAAACTTGTCAGTGAATCTTCTGATGCTACTGGAATCACTGAGATGGAGTGTGACAAAAAAATTTTCAAGGATACAAAAGATGCACAAAGCGCCATAACGGAACCAAAGTCAAAAGTTGCAGAATCTCCAGATAATGAAGAATCTGACGAAGGTAATGCATTCATTAATACTCAAATTACCAACTAACATTCTTAAATTGCAGAATATCATTATAATGACCCAGAGAAGGTAACTACAGATGATGTTGCTCTGGAACATTCTGATGAAGAAGAAAAAAAATTAGAAGAAGAAATCTTCAAAAGCATGTTCGATGTGAAAACGTGTAAGAAGAAAAAATGTCATAAGAAAAACAAGAGGCTCATAAGAGAGCTTAAAAAAGTCGATCTTGAAGCCACTAAACTTACGTGCAAGAAGCAAGACTCTCAACCAGAAGGCGATCCAGCTTTGTTGAGTCAAAATAAACAGGGTGATGATGCAGGATCTTCTGATGGTGCAGGTGTCGATGAGTTGGCATTTGCCAAAGAACATTCAAATGATCCACAACATACGGAGTTCACAGCAAGGGATCCGACGGCTGAAGATGCTGAATCTTCAGGTAACTCGGAACCTGATGAAGGTAATATATATAAATTTATTTACTCACATTACTTAATATTCAGAACTTACAGATACGTCAATTGAAGCTCCAAAAATGATAATACAACAAACATTTCTTGACAATTTTAAAATAGATCAGCATGTGTCAAATATTATAGTTAATTACAATAAGCAAATCGTAACACCAACAGCAAAAAGTGAAATTCATATAAATCAGAGTACATCAAATGAAGAGCCAAACCCTCCTAAAGAAGATAATAAAAGAGATATAGCCTATAACTCAGAGGATAAAGGCGAAGAGCAGACCGAAAGTAAAGAAGAATCTGACAATACCAATGATAAAGCATCAAAAAACTGCGAAGAAGTTTCAAAAGAAAATAACCAAGGTACGAAGGACTTCTTCACAGTCAAATCTTGTAAAAGTATGAAGAAATGGTGCAAAAAAAAGAAGAATGCTTTGAGGAGTCCAATCGGAATGGACGCACAACCATCTAATATTGCTGTGGAAAAACCTATTAAAAAATCTGAAAAAACGGAAGTAAACACTTCTGTATCCAAAAAGAAGAAAAAGAAGAAGACTGCTAAGAAGAGTCCAATCGACATTGATGCACAAAATTATATTAGTGTTGTGGAAAAGTCCGAAAATACGGATGAAGATACTTCTGTATCCAATACATCTATGACCGAGCGCCCAGGGACATCTACTGAGATATATACAGAGAAAACAGATGAATTTGCCAGCAAGAATCGAAAACTTTCGCCAAATGTATACATTCCTCCTCCAAGTGACATCAAGCCGTTAATCATACATGTTTCAAGCTCTTGCTCCTTCAGTACCAGCACCACCAGCAGCTCGTCTCCTACTTCTAACACCAAGGTAGTTAATCTACAGCACATAAAAAAACAGTTACTTAAGATTCCTGCATCTCGTAAGAATAAAAAGCCAAAAAGACATAATACTGCATCCACCTCAAATGACCATCCGTTGGATGTTAAAAATGGGGCCGTGACGATACAGAGATTCAAAATTGTAGGAATTCCAAGAGAATACTGCACACCATCCTATATTTCTAAAATTTTGAAAACCCGAGAGTTTGGTATGAACTTCTCAAAGCCAACTGAAGAGCTTCTCGTACGTGGTAACAGCGTTTTCATCAAGACTGCCGATCGCACACTTGGTGCTAAGATCAATAACTTCGGCAACGTGATTGGCTATCCCGTAAAAATATCTAAAGTTGCTGAATATAAAATTCCAGATATTCATTTTTCTTGCGTAATCAGAGGTGTACATAAGTCGATTTCAGCAGAGGAGATTTACAACGTCCTGCGCGGTGACAATTTCAAGATAAACAGAGTGTGCAGAATTATATCATCAAAAACCGGAAATATAACAAGATTTATACGTGTGATTGCATACAATAAAAGAACGATCGAGGATTTAATTAAATACGGGGTGAAAATATTCGGCGAGTTATACCGTTGTGAACCATCCAACACTCCAGTAAAGAAGCAACAGAAGCCGAAAACACCAGATCCCATACCAGAAATGCCTACTTTGAGTGCCCAGATATCAACCGATCCTACCGGGAATAAAGAGATAATGCGCAATATGACAATGGCATTGATTGATAAGATTCCGCCAAACACTAAGAGCTTTCTTTTGAAGTTAGAGAATGACGGAAAACGCATTCAGATTGGCATTGCCGATGCTCCATTAGTATTGGATCCCAAAGAATGGCCAACTTTACGTTAAGTACATCCATAGCCAAACCTACAAATACATCTATATATATATATATGTTACGTGTCGATGTCAATTAACCGTATGGGGCCTTAAATCTTGTATAAGGAACATAATATTACTTCTTCTGATTTACTTGATTACTAACAAACATAACAAAGCTGTCGAATTTGGTTGAAGTATATATTCTTAAATAATATCAAAATATGTGTAAATGTTCTTAAAATTGCGAACAGTGCAAGTGGTGACAGGAAAAAAAGAGGAGATAAATGTAAAAGATTGTAGCATTAGAATTTTTTTTCTAGCGATTCTGAAAGTATATATGGATGATCGCTAGATGTTTCTTTCTTTCTGAATTTAGCTTGCTGTTGAGGGAAGCCATCGGAGAGTTCACCAATAACGATGGGGGCCGAGGCGGGGAATACTATCTTGTTGTACATGCTCGTTAGTATTCTAATATTGGCGGGAATCAGGTTTTGTATCGCTTGTACTGAATGTTACGGGTAAGTGCAAGATACAACATTAGGAGCAATCAATATTAATATTTAATATTTTTCCAGGCGTAGAAGGAGGAGACGTCATGTACACTATATCAGGGGAGCCAGGCCTCGTCGTATTGGTGAAACTGCCGTTTAAACATTCCATGTGCTGGACCGGATATTGACCATTTTTAACATTATATGTCTTCAATCTTGCTTCTATTCTGTCCTTTTTAAAATTTAAGTTTTTTTCAGCGATGTGTTTTGTTGCAGCCTCCTGTTTGTTCAACGACATGAACATTGTCTAACAATGTTCCAACGGCATTCTATGTATTGTAATACTGCTTAGCTTTTGCGAAGCTCGCAAATATTTCTTATTTTATAATCTGTGTGTGTTTGTAACGTTAATATACTCAACTTCAATTGTCTAAGGTGTTATGACATGTTATATTAACGATTTTAAATCTCAATGTACTATCTCAATGTAATACAAAATGAATAAAATAAACGTATGAAATAAAAAAAAATAAATGTAGTTTCAATACACTATATACAAATAAATGAATTACAAAAAATATCACTGAAATATAATGTATATTTTAGCATGATACAAAGTACATCACATTTTAAGAGTCACCAAGATCCTAAATGAGAGGAGTGGGATTTATACAAATCTTGAGGTTTTGTAATTTTTCGTCTCGGTAAATTGTTACATCATGTTTAAAAATCTGTCATTAGCGTCACTAAGTATATCATAGGCAAAAAATTATGTATTTTAATAAGTAGGCGACACCTAGTGATCAACAAGTAATATATTTCTGCAGAAATCTGCTCTGGATTGTTAATATATGAAATATTTTTTGTTTATCTGAAGTATCCCAGTAAAATCACTAGTCTAGTTGTGAATTAAAGTAGAAGGTGGTAGTGAATAAAGAAAAACACAAGCAGTTCATATTTTTTTTGGCATATATGCTACATTTATTTAATAATTGTTATATGGAATAACAATCTTGAATAGAGGATAAATACATGCTTAACACACATAGGCTATATACTAAGTTAGCTATGTAATATGTGACAAAAAATTGTATATCTGACAAATTCTGGATATATGTAGTACTTTAATTGCTCGCAATAAAACCGAATGCATTGAAGTAGTAGTATTAGTAAAGAGAAGAACGCGACAACAGAAGTAAAAAGAATATATTAACAATACAAATATTTGTAAGAAACACAGATCTGTATAACGTACAAATATATATGGAAAACAAAGATCAAACACGATTTGGTATCATTATTCTCTTTTCTGATTCGCTCCAAATATTTACAAACAAAAGAATGGAATGAACAAAACGAGAAATAAAAAAAAAACACAAAAAAAATAAACAACGTAATAATATAACAGCCTTAAGTTGTAATGTAAATCGAACGTAACGAACAGGTGTACTTTATATTACAATAAGTCTGGTGGTTACATATACGTAAGTGTGGAACAGCGCTACTCGTCATTGACTTTAAAGCTAAGTAAGTCCCATATGTAAAGAAACAAAAATCAGTCCGTCTTGTACACTGAATACAAATCTAACAATAAATATCTTATAATTAAACAATAGAAAATATATAACAAAAAATTGTATAAATGGGCGCGCTTCGTATTAGGCCCTTAAGGGATATAGAAGAAGAACAGTGGGCGCATTTACTTGAGGTCTTTCTCTTTCTCGTCCAAAATATCATCGATATCCTCTTGCCAATTCACGTTTCTGGTCGCTGAATACTTATTCTCCCCGACAACTTCGTAATCCCGAAGTTCGGCCTCCAGCTCCTCCTCCCATCCTTCTTCAGTTAATAAAAAAGTAAATAAATAAAAAAGAAAAAGAAAACGGAGAAGATAATTTAAAGTCGACGTGAAATAGGCGGGACAGGTGTATGGAATGAAAGTGACTGTGACCACCAGATAGTGCCGAAAAGTGATGAATTCTTCCTATTACCATATTAAGACATATTACCTTACATGTTAAACAGAGACAAACCCAGGAGCAAGGAAACAAAAAGCAATGAAAATCGATTTACTCCATTTACCAGATGCTTCTACATCCTGTTAAAGAGTCCTGATAGGACTTTGGGGGTAAGCAGATGCATCTGGTTGAATGGTCTATACCGAGTTAAATGATATTTACAATTCTGTTCATCTTCTTTCCTTTAAATAGTATTAATATTAATCAAATTTTCTTTACAAATAGTAACAACCCAAGTTGATTAACGAGAGTTAAGAGTAGCTGAGCACTTTTCAATCACGTTAACAGCATAGGTCGTTACTAACGTTACAGTACATCGACCGATATTGTCAAATTCATTCATTTAAGCTATTCGAAACAAATATAAATAACAATGAAAAAACGTAAATGTGTAAAATTGGTAAAAACGTTGTTCAACGCAATTTCCACACGCAACTGTTGTTCGCATCACAAATCTTTTATCGACGAGACTTACATAATAAATACATGCCTAAACCTTGGAAAACAGTTGGGTGTTGAGCATTGCAATGAACAAGTCCGTCCCGGAATGCTTTCAATTGCCTAACGTGACCAAACCAGGTCTTGGTCTTCGACCTAATAATTCAAGTTAACAAAGGGGAAGTAAATGGAAATTAGAATAAATTTATAAAAGAAAAATAAGAAAAAGTAGACAAAGTTCTTAAGTACATGTTCCACTTTGATAAATACAAGCACCCTCTGGATCTTCCGATCATTGCGAAATCAATATGACTTGAGATGGTACGAGATAATGGCGGAAACTTTACGAGTGCTTGTATAAATTACAGATAGAAGTGGTAGTGGTACCACAAAATTAAATTAGTACCATAATAATGAGTCGACCATAAATATATTTATCTGATAATACTGTTCTATACATAATATTTATATATTCATTTATAATATATATCGTATATATTTGTTTAATTATATTTAGTTTTTACACAGATATTTTACGAGCAAAAAGTTTTCAAAGTTTTTTTTTTTATTCTTTTCCATAATGTGACAATGACTAAACAACCACTAGAATAACATTTATATGAAATAGCAATGGGTAAGTATAGTTTTCTGTTTAACCATTCCCAATGTCCCCTAGGTCAGAGCTTGAGAACGAGTTGTTTCTTTTGAAAACCCGCGGGGCATGATTTAAACAGTTAACCATAACTAATGTAAAAATGAGATTATTTGGAATTGATCTAAAGTTCAATAATAGTATTATTTTCTATTTTTCGGATACAAAATTGTGAAAATCATATACATAAAATGAGATCATTGGATTCAATAACATTGGTGGAAGAAACGAAACAGAACAAAAATATGTAGTCAGAGATAGATCCACGAGGAGAAAAGGAAGATATTATATGTTTTTTTTTTGTAGAATTATATGGTCTCGCACCCTCTTCCTTAAGCTGTCAGAAAACCATAGATGAAACTGACTTTAGTAGACATATATACACGTAAAAGACACTTTCGCATATACAGGGATATTCGGAAAATTTTCAATATTCTAATATTAATCAAAGCTTATTGAATATACCTGCATATTAACATACACACAACAAGCAAGGAAATGCAATTAAGCTAACGAAAAAATGAGCGTAGAAAAAAGTCACTTTGCATGTTTCCATTTTAAAATGAAAACATCAAGCGATTTGTGTCAGAAAGGGAAAAAAAATAAAGTAAGCCGGACATACCTCAAACACACAACAGTTTACTTACCAGCGTTCTTGGGACCAAGCGCTAACTTTTTCATGCCTTCTCTAACCTCATCTATATCTTGTTTTGACGCTTGCAACGTGTCGGAAATAAATTCATTCGATTTTGCATCTAATACAAACAAATAAAACAAATAACAGGAAAAATAATAATAATAATGATAATCAAAAAAAAAAGTTAGCGCTGAGCGGAGAGATTCTAGGGTTGATGAGCGGAGGGTTGAGGTAGCTTACCTAAAGGTTGATCGCAAGCACTCTCACCAGACTGGTTGTCGCCTTCTCGTGGCATAAATGTCAACTCGTTGGCCTGGCAAATTAGGCTCACGCGATAGAAGTAGTTCCTCCAGAAATTTTCTTCAGTTATCCTGTTCAGATACGAGCATGTATAGTGCTTGTTGCGATTAGGACGTATTAGGTACTTACAATTTGGGAACAAGATCGTAGCGCATCTTCTCCAAGTTCGGATCCATCTCCATGATGGCCATGGCAACCGGATAGGAAATGTCATAGTCGAAGTGGAAGTCGACTCCAGCGGGAGGACTTCTGACAAAGTTTCTCTTATCGGTGGAGAGAGTCAAACACTCCTCCTTTAGAGCCTCCTCGTTGGCGCAGCCGTTCCACGGCGGTAGAGCGTTAGAGGAGCCACCGGTTTGGTTCTTGGAAAACGCTTCCTGCTCCTTGTTGAAATCACCCAAAATGGTCTAAAGAAACAACAAAACTATACTATAATATCTGCTTGGATTCGTTGAATATTTTCTTACATTTTTTTCAACAGTTTCCTTAATCTTGGCGCTGGCCTCGCTTACAGTTTTCCCGGCTTTGTTAACAGCCGAGTAGATGAAACTTCCAAAAGATTTGGCGCCGGCCAAAGCCTTGCTTTGAACTGAAACAATCAAAACAAAGTCACATACATAGGAAATGCAAATAAAGACACGGCAATGCTTGTTTTACCGTTTCCAAACTGTCCTTCCTTGACCTCCTCAACTGGGGAATCGGCCGCCGATCCGGGACCGGAATCGGCCCCACCAGTTGCACTGAAAAGCCGGGAGTAACAAATTTTATTACTTATTTTGAAGGGACACTTATTACACGACAATCTAGCGGAAAGGTAGTACAGGGGCACACAAAGAGAGCATGAAAAATCTTACAGATACAATGCAACAGAGAAGGGCTTAGTAGAATCGCTCCTGCAGAAAGTAGCATTAGAAACATCTAAACAGACAGAGGGAGTTAAGCGTCGTGTAAGTGTCACACACCAAAAAACACATATTCCACATTACGTATACCCACATAGCATGCTGCATTTCATAAATACTTTCCAAGTTCCGCTCATGCAGCAGTAGCGGCTGGTCGATATGTTAGTTACAAACACGTACGTTCAAATGCAAAGACACCAAAAAACACCGAGTAGTTGGAAACATTGTAGGTACTTGCCTGGAATTGTCGTCGTCGTCGGTCTTCTGAGCAGCAAAGCCCTTAGAATTGTCGGCTAAAGAAACATCGGACGCAGTAGGGACATCCTCCTGTGCAGGCTGCTGGGCCTCACCCTCTCCCTTCCTGAGCTTAGGGATGCTGGATCCCAACCACCCTCCGATTCCCTCGATTTGGTTTTTCACGTTGGAGAACATTTCCAGCTTTCCCGGTTTTGTAGGACTGCAACGAAAATCGAATTTAGAGTCGGCGCTGGGAAAAGCCTTCCGTTCGAGATGCAATGCAATGCAAATAGATATCGGCCCTGGGGAGTCGAAGGAAATCGGGACTAAACAGATTACAGTCTGTAATTCGGTAATTTTGAGGTTTTCAGCGAGAATCGATTTAAAATTGAATTCCGGATGGGAAAGATACGAAATAACAATTAGCCGGAGGCAATTAAATTCGCCTCAGGCGGAACCTGCGCGGCCAACGTTGACCTACAAAGGGTTTGCGTAATTGCCTACTAATAAAAAAAAGTATAGTAAAATACGGAAATAAAGAGGCAAGTGCCGTGGGGAGGAATGAAAACCGGCGATGTCGACGGCTAAAGCGTGCCACGCAAATTCAAGGGCCGCTCGTAATTATAAAATAAAAAATATATTAAAGAGCAAAGGCGAACATCGTACTACAAAGGCTGCGAAGTAAATCATCCGCGTAGGCCTTAATTGCAATTAGCCCTTCTCCGAAGAGCCGCCAAGTTAAAATTACAATAAAAAATTTAAAAAAAAACTTGGGTATTCAATAATAAAACTTTTTAATCCAATTTCCTCTTCACTTTTAAATAATCCTTTACAACATAAATGCAAATTTTGATACAACCCATTAAAACTAATATTATTAATATTTTTGTTATATTTATTAATTTAGAATTGATTATTAATTTTAATCTTAATCTATAAATAGTCGCAAGTCAATTTTAATCTTGTATTTTCAAGAACAATTAATAATTAAAATGCGGATTAAAATGTAATTAGTTTTCTATTCAGGTTCGCGAAAGTCAATTGTCGACGTGGCAACGGTCTTTCGCCTCGCAACATTTGCATCTAACACGTGCGGTCTAATGGATTGAACCAGATTTCAATTCAGCAGAGGAAATTCTATTGTCGATAAGTAATGAACGAAGCTGTCGAACATGTGGGTGATTTTTTTTCTCTCTCTCTCTCTCTCTCAATTTTTCGTTTTTTTTTATTGTGCAATTCGTTATATTCGTAATGGAATGAAGTTCAGTAAAATCGAATGCAGCTGCATTTTTAATCAACACGAAATTCACGGTCGCAAATGTGTGTGTCCGAATTCTATTTTATTCATTTCAAGTTCATTATTTCCATTACAATGTGTAAATATTTAATGTTTCGATTTTCGTTTCGGTGACCTTTATTCTCATTTCATTTCGTTTTTCTCACCTCATTCATAAATTTGCAGAGAGGAAATTAGGTGAGATTAGGAGAAGACGTGCGCTTTGGGACAATCAAAATCGCTTCGGGTTTTTAGGGACGAGGTGACCTTGAGCTGAGAGAAGGGGAAAAATTCACTTCGTACAAATCCAATCAGAATCCTTACGATTGGCAATGGACGAGTGGTCCTTTCTTCTACTCCACTCCTTGAAAAAGGTTTTAGCTGCAGCACAAGTGCACCTGGAGAGCTATTCCGTTCCGCTACGGATTATTTTTTTTATTAAAAATAAAATACTTTAAAACACACTCTCAATCCAATTGCCTCTATATACTTAGTTATATAAATAGCAAAGATGAAAAATACTATTATGATAAGAAATCAATGAACTTTAATTCTTTTCGAATGATCGGCGGATATATCCGCCATAATCCATTGAAATAATTAGAAAAATATTAAAAAAAAAAGTTTTATATTTGGAAAATAGTTTGTATTTACTGCATGCATTTGTAATCCGATTAAATAAATTCAAATAAATCCATAAATGTATGAGTGTTTTTGTTTGTTAAACGCGACATTATTTGCACGTAACCTGTATCAATGGTATTTATTTAATGAGCGAGTCGGGAAAGCTGAAAAATAAACTGAAAAAAAAGAAATAAAAGAGTTTTGTTAATGAGCTAAAAATAATAACGAGCCGAAAGGTAAATAGGTAAATTGGTGTTATTATTTGGGAAATAATAAACCCCGGTTCATTAATTAAGTGCTCAGATTATCGAATGTGCAAATAATAATTAGGCCGGGTCAATCGGGTTAACGGCCGTGGATTAATGGCTTTAGCGTATAAAATTGATAAACAACAACAAAAAAAACTAAAAATTCTGAAATTCTATCAAAAATTGACGTCTGAATCATAACAAAAATTTCTATCCGATTAGCCATCACGACGTCTCGTCCTACTGCTAATTCGGTATGCCAACTATGCAACAGCCCGGCGGATCCATTAAAAACATGCATATTTCATACCGTAATGCAAACCTTTATTTCATTCTAATTCACCTAAAACCAACCCTCACATTGCGATCGACGTTTGATAGAGGAAAACAGTCACACATCAAATTATTTTATTTACCATTCAATTCCTTCCATTCAACCACATAAAGCATATTATTACCATCAACTTCGGATCCTCTTAGAATTTTCAATATTCCTCACTTTACTTTATTTAAAAAAAAACATAATTTATATATAATACGAAATATAAATTCATTTGTTCAATTCAATTCAATAAAATAAAAAAATAAGGAAATTGATCCAAATCCAGGAGAACATTTGTTCATATTTACAAGTACATATATATTTTTTTATCTACATTTTGTTTATAAAATCCATGTGTATGTTATAATGGATATTATTTTTCACGGACGAAAAGTTCTTGTTTATTTTTTCTGTCCACTATATTGGATATAAAATTTTGTTTGCACAACTAACTTCGATTGGATTTATTTCAGCTTTAAATATATAGGAAATAAATATTCATTTCGAGCGAGTGGAATTGTATAAAAATATAACTTTATAATAAGTTAAATTCGCATGGAGTTTTGTAACTCGGAACCCCATTAATGTTTGTGAAACAAAATATGCATAGTTCAAATGTACAATTCTGCAATATAAATTAATATTAATAACAGTAATTATATACATAATTACGTATGTAAAGAGAAATATTATTCATTTGAACTTTACTTGTATTACGTCCACATTACTAATTATATTTGTAGTCGCACGATACAAAATGTTCATTCTTAACACTCCGTTTCTCGCGCGGCATTTTGTAACATCGTTACTCGCGTGGCGTCTGAGAAACAGCAAATATTAATTTATAAATATTAATAGAATGTATTAATAAACGTATTTTGTAAATTTCTTTCTGACAAAGTTATAAATAATAATTTGAAATGAAATACAATGCAGACATAACTTTGTTATGAAATAAACGTAAAAATTAAATATCAAAACTATAGAACAGATTTGATAGCATTACAGATACACGTTTTACTATTGATTGAAACAAGTAAAATAAAAACTTGACGATTGTATCGTTTTCAAACAGTAAATGTTAATAATAATCATAATGAGAGTTGCACGCAAACGCTATTAGTAGTACTCGAAATCAAGCAAAATCGTGTGGCTGTTGGGGTTATTAATATTATCGCAGATTAATCATATTATTTATTTATTTTGCCGGTTTATAGTTTTACCACGTCAAACACGTTTTAATTAAATCCGATTCTATTATTAAAATTTCATTTACATTTTGTGAACGAACTTCAGGAATTCAATTACACGTAACTGTCGAGGAAATACTTTAAAAGCTCAGCGAAACAAATCATATTTTTTTGATTTTTTACCTAATTCTTATATTAAATATTTAATAATTATTATTTTTTAAATTTTAGTTCTAAAATAAATTTGATTTATCTCAAAACGCTCTGATTAGTTTAGATTTGAATGAAAGAACCATTTTAAAATTTTATCTTTCAACAAAAAAAAAACACAACCAATGGTTTGTGGGCAGTCCCGAACGTTAGAACCAATAGAATCGTTAATACCGAAAAAATCTGGGTGTTGCCTATCCCCAATTTGGCGACATGATTTGCAGCTGCAAATCATCGCGTTGATACGTAGAAACGTTTACGTATAGAAATCGCCTAAATTTTTATGATTCTCTTATCGAAAATGCGAGACGTACTCTTTTCGTACCCAAATAAGGAATGGGCAGCTGCAGGTGATTCATCATGATGAACGTTTTCATGCCCAAATAAGGCTTTTTTTATCTAACGCACAATTTGATGATGCATTTAATTAAATTAAAATGTTCATTTTAATAATAAGAATTAATGTATTATAATTTATTAAATAACTTCTAAAATAAATTAGATTTTTGCTCGATTCGTTTTCGATTCAATACTTTGCATCCAATTTTTGTTGTTTCTGTTGTGTGTATTCGCTAGTCGGAGATTTTCATCAACTACGATTCGCGTTACGCATCACTTAACTGGTTGCATTGTTCATCGATTCCAGCCCTTCGGCAATTGTTGCTCAGAACCTAGAGTCTATCAATCTTCGAACAAGATGCTCCAAAGGACAAGCAAATCTTTTCCACCCAATTAATTCTTTTCAGAGTCCGATTGCGAGTGCGATTCGCAAGCGCTTCAACAATATCCTCCATCAATTTACTTTTCTCTATATCGAATTCAAAATTGCTATGCAACATAGTAATTGGAAAAACATATTTCAATCGACACTACCTATATAAATATATACCTGTATTTTTACAGGTATATAGTATATTATGTAACAATGTAACGAAAGTTTCTCAGACGCCATGCGAGTAAAATGCTACGAAAGATGAATTAATGAAAATTTACAATCTAAAAACTAATTTATTGTAATATTTGACTATTATATAAAAGTTAATGTTAAAAAAAATATAATAAATGAAGAATTATCTCTGATGATTATTAAATCCATGCATAAAGATATTTTTGAAATTGCGTTCGACAAGTAACAGAAGTGCCCTTCACTGTTTAGCATTACTGTAATACTTCGTGTACTTGAATTATTTTATTGTGTTTCAATATCTAAAATATAAAAATATTTAACTGAATTGCATTTATACAAATACTTTTTAAATATAAGAATGTGAAACCTGCAGTAAACAGTGTTTTCAGGGAAACATTAAAAGTGTTTTCATACATTTCTTTCTTGATCTACAAATTTTACTG